CGTACCAGGTGGAGCTGGTAGACAGCTGCCCTGGACACAGAGTTAACCTGCGCCTCCATGGACAGCTGTGAGTCCAAAATGACTCCCAGGCTGCGCACCTGGTCCTTCAGGGGCACAGTTACCCCATTCAAGACCAGGGAATCCCCCACACCAACCCGCTCCCTGTCCCCCAAAAACAGTACTTCTGTCTTGTCAGGATTCAACCTCAATCTGTTAGCCGCCATCCATTCTTCCTAGTTCACTGGCATTACTAGCAGCTTTGTTTTTCCTTTTAACCCCTTTGCTGTTATTTGCACATTTGCAGCAACTCAGAGGCATGTTGTTAGATTTTTTCAACTAGACTTTAGTGCCTGTTTAAAAATGTGTACCCTTTTTGCTCAAACGGTCTCCAAACAGCTTACAACAGATTATAAACAAATACAATGCAAAAAGTATTTGAAACTCCCATTGTTCTAGACACATTTTGTGACAGGGAATTTCATTGGCACGAGCCGCTTCTGAGCAGTTTCTGTCTGTGCCTGCACATGGAAGCTGCTATATAGGCAGACCAGTTGTCTGCACTAAATGTGTCTGACAGCAGCTGAGAATGTCATTGCTGTTTCCATCTTTTGCATAATGTATGTACAGAGTTTTCTGTCAGTGTCGCGTGGATAGGTTCTCTATTCATTTATTTTTGTTGGCTCTGTGGGAAATTGGGGAGCCCAGAACATGGTTGGTTGCATTTGGTTGGTTGCAGCGAATTTTGTTTATGTGTGTAAGGGGGTGGGAGTTGTTGAGTCAAATTAGCCATATCAATCTGCATACTGCCGGGGGAGTTATGCTGTTGTATTGCTGGGCTTTGTTGTATATGTAATAAAAGGAAGCCACACCAGGGTGAAGGCATCCTCTTGTCCCTGTGCTAATTTCAATTGATCGGTTAGCTTTTCTAGTCTGGCTGTTTCCCATATAGTTTGGTACCAGTGGTCTATGTTCATTCTTGACAGGTCCCTCCAGTGTCTAGTTAGGACACTTCTAGCAGCTGAGAGTAGGTGGCTCATGAGTTCTTTATAATGTGCGTGTGCATTGTTGTCTTGAAACACTGGTTTAGGCCAGAGTTTAGACCATTGGGTTTGTGGGGTCTTGGAGTAGTATTTTGTATATTGTTGATGCTAACCCCTTACTATGTCCCTCTGTTGTGTCAGAAGTTTTTCTAAGGTGGTTGGGGGTCTGGTGGCTGCTGCTTTTATTGCTGGATTATTTAAGAAGGCATATAGTTGGTGATGTATCAGCCAGAATGCCCCCTAGTTTGTCTTGTATTTCTTGTGTTGGCAAGGGTTTGTCATTTTTGTAGAAGTCTGTTAGGCGGTGTAAGCCTTTGGCTTGCCATGTTTTTATTTGGAAGCTCAGGCTTCATGGTGGACTAATGGGTGGTGGGCTGAGGGGATTAGTGGGAATGGGTTTGGGGACATTTTCTCTACTTTTTCCGTCCATGGACTGTGTGAACCTGTTTAATGTTGTGGGAATTTTCCTTAGTTTGTTTTGGAGGAATGGGTGCACTTAGCTGGCGATGTAGTATAGTTCTATGCTGGGAATTCCCCATCCTCCTTCTAAGGGAGCTTATTCATAGCTTTTTGTGTGAGAAGATAAATGTTTTTTCTGCCACCTAGAGTTGGGTTGGGAGAATCCAGATTGGAAGGGTTTGTTATAAGCAGGTCACTTTTGAGGAAATTATCATTTTGATCATGGCTATCTTGTCTGAGAGGTTGGTTTTGTTCCATTTATTTAAGTCTTTGTTGATTTCCTGCCCTAGGGAGTGGTATAGTTTGATGAGGTTTCTGGTTATTTGTATCCCAAGGTATTGAATTAGGAGCAGCACAGTTTATCTTTCTGGTGTCGGTGAATTCTTTTGGGATATGCGGGTGAAGAGTGTTGAAACACATAGCCTCAGATTTTGCGAAATTCACTTGTAGGCCCAACAACGTTGTGAAGATGTTGAGTTCTTTGGTTAAGGTGGTTGCTGTGTTTATGGGGTCTGGTGTTGTGACCATCAGGTTTTGTCTTTTATTCCCACTCCCTTGATGTCAGGGGCTGCTCAGAGTCAGAATGCTAAGGGTTCAAGGGTTAGGATGAATAGAAAGGGAGATAGTGGACATTCCTGTTTTGTGCCTCTTTGGATTGCTATGGTATTGGAGTCCATTCTGTTAATCCTGATTTTTGCTGATGCTTTAGAGTAAAATTGTTTAGGGATTTGTAAGTTGGGGCCAAATTTCATATTGGTTAATACCTCCAATAGGTATTTCCATTCCAAACAAGCAAAGGCTTTAAGGAAGCCCAGGGACACGATCATCAGTGGGGATTTGGTTGTTTTGCTGTGTTCAAGCAAATCCACTAATTTCCTAATTTGCAACTAGGGACAAAGCCAGGCTGGTCTGGGGTTATTAAGTTTGTGTAGGAAGCATTTTAAATGGTTGGCCAGGATTGATGTGAATATTTTATAGTCTTGATTTATCAGTGAGATTGGGTAGTATGATTCTACTTTGAGACTATCTTTGAATAGTATAGAGACTGTTTTGGAGGACATGCAAGTTTTAGGGATGGGGGCCCCTTTATGATGTTGTTAAACATGCGGATCATGTAGAGCATCAGGATTTCTTTGAATTTCTTGTAGAATTCTGTTGTAAAGCCATCTGTGCCTGGGGATTTGTGTGGCTTTAGGTTTTTGAGGACTGTCTCCATTTCCTCTGTGGTATTAGGACTGTCCCAAGAGTTCTTGTTTCTCTGCAGTTAGGATGGTCATCCTGTTAGGAATTTTTTCATTTCCTGTTTGGTCAGGTTGTGGGAGGTATATAGGTTAGAGTAGAATCTAGCAAAACCTGATATTATTTCTTGGAGGAGAATGTTACATTGCATCACCAAAAAGGATGGTAATGTATTCATGCTTGGAGTGATTTGCCTCCCTGCACCTGTTTGCTAATAGTCTGGAGTTTCCCCCTCCATATTCGTAAAAGTGTTGTTTCAAGTATAGGATGTTGATCATTGTTTTATTAATTTCTAATGAGTCAATCTCCCTTCTTTTTTGTTCTATGAGGTTTTTGGGTTTTTTTGCTCCTGTTTGTTTGTAGCATGTTGAGAGGGCTGTGATACCCTGTTCTAGCTTGCTAATTACTCAGGAGGTTTGTTTGTTTTGTAAGGGATGCCTTTTCTTTTATATAGGCTCCTCTGGCAACTGCTTTCATTGCATCCCAGAGGGGGCTTGTTACGCTGGCTACACTATTGTTTTGGAGGGTCTTTGAGACTCTCTCGTTACTTGATTTGTGGTCAGTATGGGGCTAAAGAACCATGATGGGGTGATTTGTATTTCCTCCCCTATTTTGAGGGTAGCTTCTACTGTGGCATGGTCTGTGATTTTAACGTTTGTGATGTTTGTTGCTTCAACCAGGGGGATCAGACCTGGTGTGAGCAAAATGCTATCCAGTCTGGACATTGTGCCATGGTGCCCAGATTGGAATGTGTGGCTGGTGTTGCTTGGGTTCTTTGATCTCATATATCATATAGGTCTTCTATTTTTAAAAGCATTTTTAGTAGTCTTTTTGATGGGGGGTGTTTCTCAGAGGAATGTTGCCCATGTCTCTCAGGGAGATGCCTCTCCCATCTAAGTTAAGGTTGCCTCCTAGAATTGCTTCCCTTCAGATAAGGAAATGAAGTCTATCTGTTTTGAGTTTGGGGCATATACGGAACCAATTGTCAGTTTGTTTTTTCCATCTAGTGATCCCTTAGCAAAAACGAATCTGCCCTTTTTTGTCTTTTAATATTGTGGCTTTAAAATGTAGGTCTCTGCTGAGCACTATGGCTACCCCCCCACACTTTTCCTAAGCTGGGAGCCAACTGCGTGAAGGATATTTTAAACCAAGCATTTAGCTCCTCACAACTGGCCCTTTTATTGCTTTTCAGAGAAACCCTGCCATGCACAAACCTGAAACATTGAAGTATGACACAGAGAGACAAGAAAATCAAGTCTTTATTTCAATTAACATTTCTTGGCATTAGGCAGATATTAAATAACACTGGAATGCACAAGACTATTAACAGAGATGGACCGCAACAAGGTAGGACGGCCATAGCAACTGTGTGTCAAATCACCTCACTTCACTCAAATGCCATTTTAAAAACGCTGTAGCCACAGTAAAGTGGCACTTCACTGATAAACACAGAAGGAAAAACATTCCTTTTAAATTTCATTAACACAGTAAAATGCTTGAACAATCAACAGTAAAAATGAACAAAGTGTTGCAATTGGTAATTAAACAGTGTTATTATCCACAAACAGCTAGTCATGCAGTGCCTTAATGGCAACCTTGCTATGCATAAATATCACTTAAAAAAAAAAAGATTTGAATAATCACAGACAACTAGAAGAAATGAAGCATGGATTCTACTTGATATATTAAATATGACCTAAATATTAAAAAAATTACTTCACCATATATATATATATTTATAGTATGTATATATATATATGAATGGAAAGACCATTAAGTAAGTGCAAGCAATTTTCCTCATAGCAGGAAACTGGTATCATGCTCTTTAAGAAAATTCTACTCAATTTATTCCACATTTTATATCCATTTTCTGGGAAGCAAATTAAAATGCCTGCCATTTGTGTTGGTCAAAAGGAACACATGGCATCTCTTTCTTAGGAGCTAACTGGAAAGTCATCTGTTCATATTAACCAAGTGATGTGCAATAAACCTCTCTTTAACCTGCCATTGTAAACATACGCTTCAATTATGTTAGATGTGTAGAGTGAATCATAAGGGGAAGAAACGAAGGACGGGATAGTGGAAGGAGGAATTTGCATCAATGTTGGTGAGAGGAGTGAGGCTCTTTTTCACTTGGATACACAGACAATCTGGCAGTGGAATCTCATCCACTAGCCGCTGAGGAATGGTTGAGAAGGCATCCATTTACGAGTAAAGCTTGAACAAGCCAGTAATTTTCTTTGCAAACTGTCCAGAGTTTAATTAGAACTGACTTGCACTGCTTGGATCACATTGTAACAACCGCACGATAGAGGGATCACTCTTGGCACCTTTAATAAACTCTTCGAGAGATAGTTTACCTTGAAGGGAAACAAGAGAAAGATACAAAATCAAATAATTTTCTCTGCCAATAAATGGCAGCCAAAAGTAACTTACAAAAATAAACTTAGCCTCTCAATTATTGGCTTTTAATATACCTAATTAGTTGCCAATAAGTTAAAAATGAAATATATAATCTTGAAAAGATGAGCCAGGCAATTATTACGACAGATCTAACATTTCCCAGTTCAGGGTGCATTTAGATAGCATTGTGAACTTTGCACTCCAAATGATGGTACTAGCAATACTTCTAGGTCCTCCTAATAATCCTTATTCCAAAGATCCTAGCAGGCTGTTCTTGGGATGGGCTGTGTAAGGAAATCTTGTTATGATGTAGACAATAGAACAATAATCAAGAGTGTGAACCAGATAAGACTTTCACATCCGTTTGCATATCCCAAACACTCAAGACAAATGCAGATATTTTTAATGGAACTGACATGAAAAGCATATTTAATCTCAGTAGTGATTCACTGCTTCCTTGAACTGACACCTTGTAGAGGTGTGAACCTGAATAAATCCAGACAGCAGCTGAATCTCACTCAGACATATATGTTTTTGAAACAAATGTAGAACGCCTCCCTTGCTCTTGGACTATGGCATACAAACCAGTGATGTTGATCTATTTGTAACTAAGTAGACATAAAAACCAACTACTCTAGTTTAGCTTATTTGCATGCTTGGCTATCTGCATCAATGGAAATATTTGTGCTTCAATAAAAATGGCTTACATTAATTCCAAATTAGAGCAGAACTACACATTATGAGAAACACAGGGCAACCTCTGAAAGTGACACCCTTGCTGGCAGTCCCAGATTATTTGAATTCACTATGACTCATTGCCGTACTTTGGATTGAATACCACCATTTGGTAGCCAAGCCCCAAACCAAAAGTCCTGTTGGATGCATTTTGGCTTGCCTGCTGATGAAATTGTGTGGTGACTGATAATATCATCATTTATCTGTTTTAGACCCCTAAGCAGTAGCAGTTGCCAGGACATTAGCTTGTTCGTCTCTGCATAGTTCCATCCTTATTTTGGACATTATGGTAGATGACAATGTTCAGCTGGTGATATAGTGTGATTCACCTAACCCTCACATGCATTGTGGTTCACAATATATTGCCAGGTCAAATATTATGAAGCTTATCACGAGGTGAACTTCAAACTGGTTTTCAACTATCTATCAATATATCGCCCAGCCCTAGAAGTGATACAGTTATCTAGGATGATTTGGTTGAACACAGATATAACCTCCACAGACATCACATACTGTGGAGGCCATCTGTGCTTGATCAAATCATCCTAGAAATCCCAGGGATAGAGCAGGACAGACGTTACACAATGGAAACATGCATCTATTTCTCTCTCTTTTATAGCCTTTCAGAAGATCACAATTAAAAGTAGCAGGATCTCTGACTTAAAATTGTTATACTTAATTTCTCCCACAACTTGATGCTACTAGAGAGAGAAAGATGCACTGTGCTTACTCCAAAATGCACTGGCGCCTGAAGTGTTAATGAAATGCTTGTAAAACCTTGAGGAAGCTCTCTGAGCATTCAAAGAGTACAAATACAGTACACCCAACAACTGTTACCCCACCTCTCCTAGGGTAAATGTTCTTCTAAGAGTACCAGCCAGCAAAGGACTTCAGTGAAAACTGGGGAGTCAGCAAATGAAAGGTATAGCATAACTGCCAGCCAGGAAATCATAGAGCCTGTAATTCATCCCATGATTTCCTAGCAGGGAAAAGAAATTACATTCTAGGCATAATTACTACTCTCCTGATTTTGGTGAAGTCCTCCAATAACTGCTACCGTATTCTCCCCTTCCAATTGAAGTTGGGGGTTTTTTTGTCGTTGGGGAACAGGGTAGGAGCTGGGAGGATTGGGATGAAGCAGAAAAGTTGGGGAGGCTGCTTGAGATAGGTTGTATCTGGTTTTAATTCAGCTCACAGTGATTTGAGCAGGGGTGGTTTCATAGTTGAGCGCCTCAGTTTAATATTATCACCCTTTCTCAAAATATGACTGTTTCTTAACAATGTCTACGTACTGCATAAGGTAGGGTTCTTCCTTTTCCAAAGCTGTTTAAACACTGTGTTTACTAATAGGTAGCTTTTATTTTAAATAATCACTTTGAATCATTGATGCACATTTTGCATTTGGTGCCTCTGGAGAGAATTTTTAATTTATTTATTTTTTAAACCCCCACTAAGTAAAAAAAAAACCCATTTTAAGGCAATTTTTATCCCAGTTTTGATTGTTCCTATTATGAGAATAACTTCCATCACATTTATTTTGCCAGAGGGGAGGTTATTAATGTTGGAAGTCATGTAATACCTAGCATGAAAGGGGCTTTGTTCATGCCATTGTTATCAACTGAGATGTTCAATCTTTGCAAGGCTAGGACACTTCTACCCTTGTGGGATTTTAAACCCCCCGCATTAAATATACTCACAGTTAGGTTTATGTTCTTCCTACATTATAAATATTACTTCTTATTTTGATAACTACTATATTTTTATGTATTCTCTTATGCCATTAGAGAGGTAACATTTCATGGAATGAAAATCTTAGCTATTCTTAAGTCCTGCTGCAACGGTTATAATTCAGCGATTGCTGCATTAGCCACATGCTCATGTTATGAGCTGCACTGGTGATTTATACCCAAATAAGTCTTTCTTGATTGTCACAATCTCCCTGAAGGCACCATCAGTATTTGAGAATGGTTCCCCAGTTTGGGATATGAGTCATGGGATGGAGAAACCCCATTTGGGGATATATTTTGAGATCCCACTGTCTGTAATTAAATACCGATTCCAAATTTCCCCTGAGGTTATGCTGGTCTCAAACTACGGTCTCAGAGCAGTCACACCCACTGTCCTATCAAATCTCAGTTCACTTCTTTATAGATGGGTAAGAGTCCAACTAAGTGGCGACTGTCAAATAACATCTTGGTCCTTCCCCCTTTTCTTCAGGTCATTAACAAAACACCTGGAAGAAGACTGTCCCACTTCCACCACAGCAGTTTTTTAAAGTGAAGAAAAGAGACACTTGGTGATGCAGTTGGGCTCTCCTGGGTAATGTATCGTTTGACTCGAAGTTATAACTGAATTGTTACCCTTTTCATATGATGCAGCACACTGACAGTTTTAACTGTGCTGCACTGGGTAAAATGGATTTGACACAATATTTTAACCTGTACAAGTGCTGTGTTATGCAAAAGAGTAGCTAACTAAATATATGTGCTAAAATGCTCAAAATACTGCAGTGAGAATAAACTGTACAAACGAGGTTAAAAGTACTAAAGGTAAAGGGACCCCTGACCATTAGGTCCAGTCATGGACGACTGTGGGGTTGTGGCGCTCATCTCACTTTACTGGCTGAGGGAGCCAGCGTACAGCTTCCAGGTCATGTGGCCAGCTTCTGGTGAACCAGAGCAGCGCACGGAAACGCTGTTTACCTTCCCGCCAGAGCGGTACCCATTTATCTACTTGCACTTTGACGTGCTTTCGACCTGATAGGTTGGCACTTATGCCCTAAATTTATTTCAGTTGCAAAGCATTGCTTGGCAGGGACTGTGGTCCTGGAGGAGAAAAGTTAGGGCATGGATAAAGGGTTAAAAATGCATGCCCAGGCGTCACTCCTCACAAATGCTGCTTTCAGCAGACTACATTTTCTGCAGCCAAAGGGCTAGAACATGGTTTGGTTGTAAAAAATGGAAATGTAAGATCTTCAGGTTTTTGTTTTTTTTAAAATGTATGTGTCACAGATTGTGGCCATGTAGATCTCTAGACCCTAGAGATTAAGGAGTGATGAGCACATGCATACACACACCAGTGACTTGCTGCAAAAAACATACCATCATTGTTTGTGTCCATCTGTCTGAATATTTTGTCTGTTCGTTTCTCTGGAGTTGATTCATCCTCTGGCATTTTCATTACCGAAGATACCATTTTGTAGATTGCCTACAGGAACAGCAAAATACAGGAAGTCAGTTTTGCATCCTTGAAGGAAGTAGTGGAAGCTTATTTTGCAAGTTATGGGAAATAAGTGATAAACAAAAAGCAGAACATGTTGGTCGTTGTTTATGCTGTTGCAAAAAAAAATCAGGACACTCACTATGATATGTACATAATGTATTCTCCAGATACTGCATTTGCTTGTTTATATGCCAACTTACATTTTTAGGCATAACAAATACACAGCCCTTATGTTTTCCTAGAAAATGTCCATCATTTTGATAGATTGTGTGTGCGTTTTGTTTACTCATTGGGAGGAATGATGCGTGAATGCAGAGGGCTGCACATTTGGAACTGGGTCTAAGATTTGTGTCTGTAAAATATATAAGAAGTACCTAAATATTTTCTGTTTGGTAGTCTGGTACAAGATGAGAAGAATTTAATCTGGAATGTGCTCCAGGCATGTGGACACTGATCAGGATTATGCACACCTTTAAGTGTTAAAATATGTAGTATGTATGTTTGTTAACAAAAGATACCATATATACTTGAGTATAAGCCGGTTCACCACACCACAAACCTGGTGGTGGCGGCAGTGGCGGAAGAAGCCGGCTGCTTGTTCCTCCTCCTCCGCTGCTGACAGCGGCAAAGGCAGCGGAGGAAGAATGAGCAGCCCGAAAGGCTCCTTTCGGGCTGCTCGTCCCTCTGCCACCGCCCGCCTCTGCCTCTCGTAAGAGCAGGCATAGGAGCTGTGATTGGGAGAGGCACAGCGCAGTGCCTTCTTCCAACAGCTGCTCCTGTGCCTGCCCTTGCGAGAGGCGGGACCAGCGGCGAGAAAGGACTCCTTTTGGGCTGCTCGTCCCGCCGCTGCCTCACTCGAGTATAAGCCGAGGGGGGCTTTTTCAGCATAAAAAATGTGCTGAAAAAGTTGGCTTTTACTCGAGTATATACGGTAAATGAATTATACTGTACTGGGTGAACTTCCTGTGCCCTTCCTGTATCGGTTTACTTACCTGCACTATCTCAAGCATTTCTGCACGGCTGATGTAGCCATTGCCATCAAGGTCATACATGCTAAATGCCCATTTCAGCTTCTGCTCAAGTTTCCCCCGTGAAGTGACACTCAATGCGATTATAAATTCCCGAAAGTCAATCGTCCCATCGCCATTGGTATCAAAAGTGCGGAACACATGCTCTGCAAATTTTGAGGCATCGCCGTAGGGGAAGAAGTTAGCATATATCTTTTTGAACTCTTCAACAGTCAAATGGCCAGTTGGGCAATCTTTTAGGAAGCCTTTGTACCACTCTTGCAGTTCATGGTCTGTGAATTCTGTGTTCTCTCGGAGGTCCTGGAGCACTTCGGGTCTCAGTTTACTGTTCTGTTTCCCCATTTTGTTCTTGGTTAATGCCTAAGAGCTGCAACAACAACAAAAATCCGGTCATTCTTAAAGCCCCTGGTGACATACAAAACACTGTGTTTTAAACACAGATATTAAACATATGGGATGGCAGAAAAGGGTGATGCATATATACTGAATTTAAGAGAAAACGGATTGTTTCATGCAAAGAGAGGGCACGTTTGATTAAAAAACAAATTCAGAAGAAACAGCCAACATCCTTTCCACTTTTGCCCAAGTTTACTTCTGCTGACTGTATCTCCTTCTATTCCACAGTGGCACAATGTGGATCACTATGCAATAGTTTCTTTCTCTTCCATTTTGATTGCGGGTGGCGCTGTGGTCTAAACCACAGAGCCTAGGACTTGCTGATCAGAAGGTCGGCGGTTCAAATCCCTGCAACAGGGTGAGCTCCCGTTGCTTGGTCCCAGCTCCTGCCAACCTAGCAGTTCAAAAGCACGTCAAAGTGCAAGTAGATAAATAGGTACGGCGTTTCCGTGCGCTGCTCTGGTTTGCCAGAAGCGGCTTAATCATGCTGGCCACATGACCCGGAAGCTGTCTGCAGATGCTAGCTCCCTCATCCTTTAAAGTGAGATGAGCGCCGCAACCCCAGAGTTGTCCATGTCTGGACTTAATGGTCAGGGGTCCCTTTACCTTTACTTGTACTGAACATAAAGAGTTCTGAGTCCACCCCTCCATTGTGAGTTGCTTCCATAAAAATAAAAGAATCCTCCTTTGATTTAGTGACGGCTTCTGCTAACCAAGAGGTGAGGTTCTTTTTTGCTACTTTCCACACTCCCACACTTTTCTGGAAAGTTTCCTAAACTCTCTGGAGCAGGTTTTTTTTGGGGGGGGCAGGCGGGCTATGAGTATTTCTCCAGCTGTTGTTGGACTACAACTCCCATTATACTTGACCACTGGTACTACTAGCTAGGGATGATGATAGTTTTTGTCCAACAACAGCTGGAGATCCAAGTTTGAGAAACACATGGCTAAATTAAGGAGGGGGAAATCAACAAAAATCACCCTCCCACAACTTCCACTGGTGGAAGGCTTCAACTGGTCAAAAGTCTTTTCACAAACAGAAGAGCACAATTGGACATACAAACTTATTCTTTGTGTAACAAGTTACAAAAACCATTATAACAAACTATTCCTCAAGCATAGAATTTTGTTCTCCCAACACTTTGGGTACCCAATCATAATGATTACAGTCCTACTGCTACTACTTAATTTGCCACCTCCTAAGAAGACCTATTATTCTTATTACTTTTAACACTCTTAGGACAATATTTCTAGACATACTTACTGCAGGTTCATCAGATCTGTCCTGAAATAATTTCCCATGTTTGTCATGAGTATATTCAAGCCCAATTTCATATCTACATGTACATCTTTATCACCTCAGGCGTATGAACAAAGTGGCAACATACAGTATTTTACAGGAATTTCTAATACCCAAAGGTATCAACCAATACTGTCAATGTGGTGCCCATTTTAGCATATAAGTTTCTTCCTCCCATCATAAAAATATTGTCTAATATAGACATTGAACGTTGGGCTTTCTTTTCGCTCAACCTTCTGTTCTAGCTAAACAAGCACACAGTTGGAAGGCCAAAGATTTTAGAAATGTTTTGAAAGTTGATTGAAGAATTCCAAAACAAATAAGCAGGATACAGGAAGAACAGAAGGAAATATGATAAATTCACTGGGAGGCCTGGGCTAACAGCCACCCCTATGTTTAATGGGATTACTCTAGAGGAGCACTTCTCTCACACTCACTATCACATTACACAGAAGTTCTCAAGGAAAATTCATTTGTGAGTATTCAGAGCGATTAACCTGATTTAACATGTATTTAACAAGCCAGGATAATAAACCCAGGACCTGATCTATCCATCCTGCTTCAATGCGACCACTAGCATTCTTTACAGTTTGAAAAGGAAACAGTAACTCTCTGTACTATCATCCATTGCAGGATGACAGTGTCAATTTGCGAAGACCATGCATCAAAACCCCTCTGAAAAGGATCTGTGAGAAACCAAACTCTGCCTGCTTCCAGGTTTTGGGGGGTGTTCATGGCAGTGGGCCAATCTGAAGAGTCATAACAACAGGCTGAGAGTGCAAAATAACCTTTTAGTAGCTTGCTACACTGAACAAGCATTTTTCCTAAGGATTAACTTGATTCATACATATCTACAAAAGGAAAACGCCACTCTCATTAAATAGGATTACAAATAGATACAAACACCTCTTTCTCTCTTAGCTGTGAAAATTTGCTATGTTCCTCTCATTCCCAAATCCAGTCCATTCAGCAACATCAAGGGGATTTGTGATTGGCAAAACAATTATACACGAATCATTTGTTTAAAAACCCCAATAAATATAGATTGGAGTAGCACTGAGTGCAGTACTCTTGAGCTACATTTGGAGAGGGGAAAATAAAGAGAGCTTTAATGCACACACTGGAATCATTGGAAATAATGACGGAATGGTCTGTATGGACTCTGGTCATGAGTTATCAAAGCAGCTAAATACTTTAGGATGCTAAGAGCAACTGTTCTTCCCAATGTCACGAGAGCCACAGTATTTACAGTATATGCAAGCAGAGATTTGAAAAAAGACATTACATAAAGTTTGCATACACATTAGCTAGCAGCCACGGTAATATGCAAACTGAATGTTGGGAAAACATTACCTGCATGAAGAAATAATTAACAATAATAAGTCACTGCAATCTGAATGCAACCCATTATTTCAAAAGGGATGTGTACAAATGGGCTAGTTTGTCTGTGAAGTAGAATGTTTCAATCATAAGATAATGGCAGCCAGTGCAGTCAGGCTGGGAATAGGTTCAAAGCGACCTGGCCACCAAATTCTGAACCATCTTCAGAGGCAGCTCTATGTATAACGCGTTGCAGTAATCTAACCTAGAGGTTACCAGAGCATAAACAACAGCAGTCCCTGTCCAGATAGGGGCACAGCTGGAACACTAGCCAAAGCTGATGGAAGGCACTTCGTGACACCGTGGCCACCTGAGCCTCAAGCAACAACAAAGGATACCTTCCTTCAGATATAAGAATTCATGTACACAAGTGAACACATGTACAATCATATTTGAAATATAAAGCCTCATGAGAAATAAGTCTTTAAACAAAAGCAAGCTGCCTGTAAATTCTTTTCCTGCAGTCAAAATTTTGATTTATACTCCATTCCATGGGGCGAATGGGGAGTGTATGGGAAACACATTACATACTTTTAACCTGGATCTCTTTTTAAGGTTTATCATTATTTCAAAGAACTTTTCAGGTTCTTTGAAATTCAAGTAATTCAGCTATCAAGAAGGAATACATTTTGTGCCTGGTGCAACATTATGCTTGTAAAGCATCCAACTATTACATATACAGTGGTACCTCTAGATGCAAACGAGATCTGTTCCGGAGCCCCGTTCGCATCCTGAAGCAAACATAACACGCGACTGTGCGTCTGTGCATATGCAGGATGTCATTTTGAGCAGCTGCGCATGTGCAAGCAGCAAAACCTGTTACTTCTGGGTCGCCGTGGAACAGAACCCAAAAATATTCATCCCGAAGCTACATCAACCCTGAGGTATGACTGTACCTTCTCGACAGTGGCACCTGCCCTGTGGAATGCCCTCCCACCAGATGTCAAAGAGATGAACAACTACCAGACCTTTAGAAGACATCTGAAGGCATCCCTGTTTAGGGAAGCTTTTAATGTTTGATGTATTACTGTATTTTAATACTTTGTTGGAAGCCACCCAGAGTGGCTGGGGAAACCCAGCCAGATGGGCGGGGTATAAATAAATAAATAAATAAATATAATAATAATAATTAGAAACCCGAGAAAAGCCTTAAAAGCAGGAAAAGCAAGTTGGGAAGTGAGATCTCTCTTTTTTAAACAGCCCATGTCTTCTCCTGATGGAACAGAATCACTTCCCCCAACACTTATCTCCAGTGTTGTGCTCTTTGTTACAATCACAGCCAAATCATTAAAAATAATCTAGATAACCACTCCATGGATATTGATATTGTTAGAACTGGGTTATCAATGCAACACTAGCGACCCAAGTGCAAAAGAATGCAAACTCACTCTCACATACTACCACACCATTACCGGTATTTACATACAGTTTAATACAATTTAAAAGACTATTTCAGCACCTTTTCTAAAAACCATCCTACACAGCTTTTCATCATAAACACCACAGAAAACACAAGCTAAATTACACTATTAAAAATACCACAATTCTGTACACAACAGAACACAATATGCAGCTTCAGCATATTGTGATGGAACTGATGATTTCTCCACAATTTCCCACAAAATCTACTCTCCATTTAAACTTCAAAGCCCAAGCAGTCTACTGAAATATTTATTTGTAAACATTTATATGCCACTTTTTGTTGGGTTCAGAATCCAAGGACATTAGTAAAGAAACAGCAATTTGAATGTGCTAAAAACATGCAGCACCAGATGGCGCCAGAGAGCAGAAAATGTTAAAACACAATTTTCCATAAAGAATTTTTTCTTTTGTTATAACAATCTAATTTCTGACTTATCTATAGCAGGTTTTTCCATTGTCTAGATCAGGCAACCTAAGGTCCACAGGCTGGATGCAGCCCAATCGCCTTCTCAATCCGGTCGGGGAATCAGCGTGTTTTTACATAAGTAGAATTTGTGGGGCATAGGAATTCGTTCATTTTTTCTTTTCTTTCAAAATATAGTCCAGCCCACCACATGGTCTGAAGGACGATAGACCGGCCCATGGCTGAAAAAGGTTGTTGACCCCTGGTCTCGATCCACCCTATGACAGTGTACAACAAAAACTAATAATACATAATTTATCCACAACAAATATGAGAAAAGGCAGCAATTAAAACTGTTATGTAAGCTAAACCTTAGACCAGAGGTGGCTAATCTGTGGCTCTTTAGGTTTTAATGGACTACAACTCGCCTTATCCCCGACTACTGGCCATGCTAGCTAGGGATGATGGGAATCAGAATCCATCATCTGGAGGGCCACTGGGTTAGTCGCTCCTGTCTTAAACAACATAACTGGGTAAATAAAGTCTTTTAACCTGGCAGCCAAAGGATTGTCGTGTGGGTGCCTGGCTAGCAAAGCCAGAGTGTCGTCACTGAAAAACAACAACAACCCTCTTTTACGGCTGGATAACATAGTCTGGATAGGGAAGGCAACTGGGTTTCCTGTAGAAGATCTTAAGACATGGCCAGGATGGTCTGGAAGAAGCACCCTTCTCATATATTTGACTCCCAGGTTGGCAAGCAGTAAGCCACTCTTCTGCTTGACTCTTGGCCATCTGAAAGCTTGCACCTGTGTGCTCTTCTGCTGCCAACATTTGGAAGAAGCATTTTGGCAGTGCTACTGTGCTTCACTGGGATTTGGGGCGGGGGGAGGGCAGAGAGAGAATGTTTTTAGATTACATACACATCCCGTGAATTTGCTTGTATAGTCTGGGGCTCTCTACTATACAGAAACACATTCCTGGGTTTATTTCTGATTTCCTCACCACACCCTGAGTTTCTCTTGACTAATGGAGGGATTGACAACAGACTATGGGCCTGACAATCTCACAAACACGGACAAAACAAGCAACCCAAGACCGATGCACATGTAGTTTCTCAGGCCAAGCTGCATATGAGCATCAAAAGTGGGGGGTGGGGCAGGACTGTTATCAAGAAATGGTGACATAACCAGAGTTCTCAGAAATGACACACTCTGGTATGCTATTAATACTCCATTTATTTTCTACCCAGCATTGGCGATACAAAATCTTTATCCTGCTCAGAAACAGAAAGAAGAAAAAGAAAAAGCAGCCAGCTGCTCATTAATAAAACACATCAGGTTTAAACAGAAACCTGTGTTTATATCATTAGCTACTTCTGCACTGAAGGAAACCATAAACATCCCAGCCTCCTAGCTTTATTTCTATTCACTGTTTGCTCTAATGGAGCCCTGCTTGCTTCCCAAATGTTGAAATGTTTAAACTAAGCTCCCAGCTGGTAGAGCCATAAGCCATGTAAAGAGCACAGAGGAACTCTCCAGCTAATTGCACACACTGACATCTAGGCAAATACCTGGCTCTCTATCCTTTTTTCAGAATGCTACATAAGATGTACTGCTTGCGCAAAAGGGTGGGGAGAAGAAAGAAAGAAGCCAAACCCTTTCCATTCTCGAGTATGCTAAAGGGCAGTTGTAATTACCAGCCTCACTATGGAAACAAGGACAAACTTTGCATGAATGGGACTATCAGAGAGGCTACTTTAAAAAGACAAATAATTGGCATCTTGTATTTCCACACTCCCCCACACCATTTACTTTCTGAAGAAAACGGCCGTTTTTTTCTTTGTCCCTTATGCAGCAGAAAACCCTGGGTCAGCGAAGTCAACAGCAACGCCTCACATTGGCCTGCCAACAGGCTCTATTGCTACCAATGCCACTGACTTCCACACTAGGCTGATCAGATTTGGCCCAGAGGCCATCAGTTGCTCAGAGCAAAAATGCCCTATGTCAGAGGGGGGGAAGTTGGGGCTCTCCAGACATTGCTTGGCTACACTCCCATCATTTCTGAAGGGAAAGGTCTTTGTGGATGCGATTCAATGGGATATGGATGTGGTTGTAAGGGACATGGCAGAGGCAAAGTGTGTGGCCACATGAGGGGTCCAATAGAGGGCAAATTGGGAGTGTGTGTGTGAAACAATGGCAAAAGAGGCACTAGAACTCATGCTTGTTTTTCCACAAGTATGGTGGAACAAGCCATTTAAGACATTTAACACTCTGTGAAAGATGTCCACTGTGTGCATTAGCAACTTGTAAACCACACTGAAATTAATCCATCTATCTATGTATCTATCTATATTACATGTCCAATGAAACTGAAATCATGGAACAGAAATGGGAAAGGAAGAAGAAACTCACCCAGCTTAATGTTCTCTGTTTGAAGCAATGGAAAACTGAAATGGGCAGCTGTCTATGAGAAAGACTTTTTCCGCTGCAGGATATCCCCTTTATTTTGTTCCAATTTTGCCTCACATTGTTAAAACACATTGGTCTTATATTGTCTGCTTTTCCCACGCTCCCTTTCCCAACACAGGGGTTGGTCAAAATAACTTAGGATATTCCTCATAGATCATACATACAAACATTTTCCAAATTGGCTTTCGTAATCATTTTTAATCTCTTGCAGTGGTTGCACTGTGTGGCACACTCATGCAATTCCAACACCTGCACTAAGTATGCACTGTGCATGTGTGATGTTGCACACCTAACATCCCCCACTGCTGTATTTTAGTTTGGAAATAAATCACATGTTCAAGAAGGCAACTTCTAACGCTTCATTTTCAAAAACCTCACTACCTGGCAAAAATAATGTCAGTCCTTACATGGAAGTATGTCTCTGCTAGATCGTTTCGATCAATTCACGAAATAGGTAAGAGCCACTACCTGAATATCAAAGGGCTGCTCCCCATTTTAAATACTGACTCAGCCGCAGTCACAAGTTCAAACACTGTTTGTGTTAATGGGGAAAAAAGAAGAATTCTGCATCTTGTTAAGAACATCTTCTTGCAACCTTACCTGAGCAGTATGCTTCCAATGACCTTACAGAATATTTAAAGTGCTCCCTGTGTGGCTGATTGGTCACAGGAAGACTCTGTAATCTAAAGAAACAGGAATAATATCCAGTGTACTTTTCATTGTTTAGATCAGGGGCCTATGGTCATTTAGATATTGCTGGACTCCAGCTCCCATCATCCCTGTCTGTTTGCCACGCTGGCTGAGGCTGATGGGAACTGGAGCCCAACAACATCTGATGCCACAGGTTCCCTATCCCTGGTGAGGAAAATGCCTAACAACTGAATTGTTTCAGTTGTTAACTTTGTACTCAGTGTTTTGTTTAAAAAGCCCTGGTTCTTTGAGTGTGATAGGCTTTAGTATTAAGCCTTCTGTTGTATAATCAATTTATTAAGAGAAATTAACCCATAACTGTTATTTAAATTAATTTATTAAGGCACATGTCATGCCCTTGAGCAGATAGTTCCTACGAAATTAAATGCCCCCAAATCTCATTAATTGTGACGAAGAAAAGAAGTCTTGCTGCTGGCATCCAAGTTAACATTTCCTTCAATAGCTCTAAAAGGCTTTTATCAAATCACTTCCCAGAGTCTCATTCTCTGACTTTGCCATAGCAACCCTTGGAAGAACACACCTTTCCCTGCCCTGAAGTACAATTTATACAAATGTTCGGTAAACATACATGAAAATTGCAAAATACTTCAATTTTTCATGTACTGCATTTACTTAAAAACAAGGTTAAGGTTTTCTGTTTTATTTTGTGAGCTACACAGTTACCAAAAGGAAAGAAATGCATGTTAGCTGGGGGAGCAGGCTTACCACTGAGTATATTTTGAGGACAGAATCAAATACGCCAAGGATTTGCCCCAAGCTTTTGCACTTTTTATGTAAACATTTTTACTGTAAAGTGCCATTCAGAAATATATAATTTTGTTTGTAAGATTTCAAGAAAGTGACAAGTTCACAATATGAACTGGGCAGAAATATGTGATCCTCCTATCGCTTTTTTGTTTGCCTTTGACGTTATTGAAAAGAGCATGAAAAGGAGCATCAGCTAAAAGTAAATGCACAATAAAAGAAAGTGAATCAAAATCAAAGTTCTGTTGTTTGCTTCTCAGATATTTTCAATACAAGTTACCCATTAGATCATGGCAGTGTTCATATTCTTTCCATGCCAGATGTCCTTTAACTGTCAGAACCAAAGCCTCTTTAGGGCTTAGCATTCTTGTGTACAGGGTCAGTGGAAGAGCTCTGCTCACTGTGTATGTTGTATCTATGAGTTGCCAGCAACACACATCAAAATACACTGTGCATTAGTAAGAGATTTTCTGTGCTGTGCCACGCCATCTAGTACCATGGAGCATGAAGATATATAAAACGCATTAGTTCTCCTCCCTGTTTTGTTCTAAGAGGCACATTTCATATTTTATATTTAAAGACTTCCAAGTGTGTTCACTGTGATAAAATAGCTACGACACATTCCTCCCCAGAACTACTTGTTACATGTGTACACAGTCTTATCATCAGCCGTCAGTTACCATTTTCCCCTTACATTTTAAAATTTCTCTGTCTTAAAAGAGTCTTCCTAGCTAAGGGAGCCAAGTTGCATGTTGTTACACTTTTAGGGTTGTTTACAGTCATTTGTTTCATTGCATAAAGCAGGGGTAGTCAACCTTTTTATACCTACCGCCCACTAATGCATCTTTCTTGATGGTAAAATTTCCTTACTGCTCACCAGTGCTCGATGGAAGGAGGATTCAGCTTGTGCCGTAGAACCCCCTACCGCCCACCTAGAATCCTGAAACGCCCACTAGTGGGCGGCAGGAACCAGGTTGACAACCCCTGGCATAAAGTCACACAGGTGAATTCACCTGGATCACATCAGAGCATGGCTACGTTTGCACTATACCCTATGTATAACAACTAATAAAAACTTTGCAAAATCTTCCATTAGGATTGGAAACGGGCTGGAAGCCAGTGAAGGTGGCAAAGCACGGGCATGATGTGCTTATATCACCCAGTCCCAGTTAACAGTCTTGCCACTATATCCCAAACTGAAGTTTCTAGATCATTTTCAAAAACAGCTCCATCTACAACACATTGCATAATGTGACAACATCTTGAGAAGGATTTAGGAAAAACATGACAAACCAAGTAGCAACCTCCAATGAGCTTTCCCCGTGTCAAATGAGTATCACCTTCTCTACCAACTTCAGGCACAGAATAACTTTACTGTGTAGTCCAGGGGGGCAGAATATCTGGTTCATGGGCCAAACTTGGCCTGCTCAGGGTAACAATTGGCCCTTGAGGTCATTTCCCCAAAACCACAGCACTCAAAAGGCAACACAGGGCTGTTTGCAAAAGGACGTTGCAACTGCCTTGCCCTGTGCTTTGTGCTGTTTAGTCCCAACAAACAGGGCTTCAATGTGCAACATCATCCAATGACATCAGATGACAGTTGGATGGCCCTGCTCACTTGTCAAACTTGGTCCACCAGAGGTTGGGCCAGGGGTTGAGCCTTCTGGCCAAAAAAGGTTCCCAAGAAATGTTCAAAATGACTAGTGGTGTGTCTGACTGTATCTCAACTCTTTAAGTTGCTAGTTATAAATAGAGAAATTAAATCCAGAGAAAATGGGGGAAATTGATGGCCCGAAGGTGGTTAGAATCAGAGGCAGATTAATCACACTTCATTCCTCAGGCTAGTTCAACACACAGGTCTAGAAGAGGGCAGAACTTGATCTAATGTAGAACTTACACCATTTTGAAAATGGCAGGCTCTGCTGTCCATATTATCCAAATATGTAAAAAGCAAATTCAGTAGAAAATAATGAGGACAATCAAGTGAATACTTGAAACATTTTATGATATTGCACCTGCAGATGTTTTCAGAGGGGTTCATCATATATGTGTTCACATGTAGCCAGATATTCAACAGGTCTTTGTACTAATTTTTAGCAGTGCAAGTAGAATGAAAAAAGTGAATTGGACATTTTAGATCAAATGCTAAGAGATCTTGTCTTGCGTGTAGGACCTGACATTCTAGTTAACAAGACTCCTATATGTTAAGTTGCAGTGAGTCCATTTGCAATGGGGGAAAAGTCCTCTTTTGTTATTATTTGCTTTTAAAATGAAAATATCAGCAAATCATAGCACCCATTGCCTTCTCAAGGAGATTAAGTAATGAGATATATTCTTGCTACATTTTGCTGACAAAAATACTAACTTGTAGCTATCCCTATGGTTCCCAAAAACATTCCACAAGAAGCTCCGAAAAGGCAGCCTAAATACCAGCCTGAAACCATTACTGGTTATCACAATATGTGAGTTCAATGGCCTGGTGGTTGATGTTGATGATTGTTTTTATTATCATTATTATTATTATTATAGAAAACATGCAAAGAAAACAAAGAACCAGAAATAGAGACTCCGCGGAAGCTGAACATTTCCCTTCAAGAATGGCAGCACTCCAATGCACACAAAGTAATGTAGGGAAATTCCAAACGAGTGGCAGCTCCTTAATTTCAAAAGGGAAGAAAGAAGCAAGAGAATCAGGGTGGAAATTACACAGTTGTTCAAAATAGCTAAGCCCAATGCTCCAATAGGCATTATAAAACATTTTGTTTTAAACAAGAGAAGACATAAATCTTAGGACAAACTATGTACCCATTGGAGCTTCTGTAGAGACTGGGATTGGAAAAGTTCCAAGCAGGGCTGGAGGAGGCAGGGAAAGGGGGGGGGGGAGGAAATCAATGGAATTTGGGCAGAAAAACCTGTTGGAAGGAAATAGTTCATACTTCCCTTGTTACTTGAATGGAATAAAGAATTTTAAATAAGTCTCAATCTTCAGTGCTTTATGCCACCATGTCCTTCTATTGCTTTGCCTTGAAAGATATACAGGTACTTTCTGATGGGTTGCGGGGAGAAGAAGCTTCTCACAATTTCTACTTTATGCAGGGAAAACAGTAATACATCACACATAATCAAGGGCTTTTGAGCTCTTCTATCTTTCCTTTTCCTGCACTCCATTCACAATTAACAGAGCAAACACACACAACGCCCAGAGTTTCTCACTGAGAACAAAGTCATGATTTTATTATGCCAGAAGCATACAAAGGAATCTGAAGAAACAATTATAATCTACAACAGGCATAGGCAAACTCGGCCCTCCAGATGTTTTGGGACTACAACTCCCATCATCCCTGACCACCGATCCTCTTAGCTAGGGATGGTGGGAGTTGTAGTCCTAAAACATCTGGAGGACTGAGTTTGCCTATGCCTGATCTACAAGGTCATGGATGGTGAATGATACCCATTACACCACCCCACCCTGGTGACTTCTGTTTCAGTGTACACTGGTACCTTGGGTTACAGATGCTTCAGGTTACAGACTCCGCTAATCCAGAAATAGTACCTCAGGTTAAGAACTTTGCTTCAGGATGAGAACAGAAAATGTGCGATGGCAGCGGGAGGCCCATTAGCTAAAGTGATACCTCAGGTTAAGAACAGTTTCAGATTAAGAACGGACCCCCAGAACGAATTAAGTTCTTAACCCGAGGTACCACTGTATCTGAAGAAGTGTCCATGCGCACGAAAGCTTACAGAGACTTAGTTGGTCTCTAACGTGCTACTGGACAATTTTTTAATTTTTTAATTTATTTTGACCCATTACACCTGTAAGTAATACTGTAAGATGAAAAGAGCCAGTTAAAAACACATCTTTGGTTTTGTTTCATTGTAAATATCTACATTATGTACCCTCCTTCCTCACTAATTGTAATAAACATAAGCCATGTGGTTTCATCTTGAGTTACTCATATGCATCCAAGGACAAATGAATGTGCATCTCTTTACCTTCCTTTAGGCTGTTTTGCCTAAATGTAGGTTATCTGGAATAGGCCAGGCACACGTTTGTTGCAAAATATGTCATCCTTCAATATTAGTATTGTTTCCCCCCCAATATTTTAAGTATTTTTTCCAACACATGCATAAAACTACCATCCCTTGGTACTGAAATGAGAATGCTGAAGGGAATAAAAAAAGCTGTATATGCATTACAATAAAACCATTGTTAATTAGCCATCGCCTCTTTTATCTGTATAAATCAAAACTTAGTTTTCTGCAATGATTTACAACCCAGTTCCGCAGAGAGTGTTTCAAAGCAAGTAATATAAAACAAAACTAAGAAATCATTTACTGTATATCTGGCAATTAGCATAAAATCCTGAGCAATTAACTAATAGGAGCTATATACAACCTAATGCACAAAGTAGTCCTGAAGAGCAGATGAGGGTATGCAGTCACAGTGAGTTGCCATTCATGTTTATGTACCGACAGTGAAATCATTCTGCTGTCTTGCTGAAGAGGGGGCGAAACTGACAAAGAAGAGAATATTTTCCAATAGTAATGACCTCAAGATTAAATTAAGCTAAAATATAAAAGAGACCATCTGGCAGCCAGCTTTCTAAAAGGAAGCTAATTTCTAAAAAGCCTGCTGAAGGCAAATAAAGATTACTAAGAGCATCACTGGAAAAGACTTGCAGCGAGAGAACACTTAAAATGGCGTGGAAAAGCACAATAGACACTGTGCCTTGTTTGGGTGACGATGAGAGAGATGGTGTTATGAAAGGGAGGCACACTTGGATGTATCTAGAGGGCATGGGTATTTTACATATCTCCATGCTCAGTCATCTGTGATCTTGTCAGTACAGGGAGATCCAGCTGATCTGCTGACAGATCCTTTGGCTCAGATGACATAGGACATCTTTTTATGAGGCAACTTCCTGAGGTTACACTGACCTGGAATACACCACAGCCTCCAAGACAAATGTTCTCAATCTCACAATGGTTGTTTTCAAACAGATAGAGAAAATGGCGAGGGAGAGGTCAGCGTGGGGGACAAGTGCGAAAAAGGAGAATTCCTTTTAACAGACATAAAAGTTTACAGTTGGGATATAGAAAAAATGCTAACAGGTTGAGAGGGCTATGCCTTACAATTAGTATGTTCAAAACACTTCAGCCTAACTGTTCTCTTAGAAAAGAACAGCCATTTTACATCTTTGGGTAGACCTGCATACCGTGGTACCTCTGGTACATACTTAATTCGTTCCGGAGGTCCATTCTTAACCTGAAACTGTTCTTAACCTGAAGCACCACTTTAGCTAATGGGGCCTCCTGCTGCTGCCGCGCAATTTCTGTTCTCATTCTGAAGCAAAGTTCTTAACCTGCGGTACTATTTCTGGGTTAGCGGACTCTGTAACCTGAAGCGTCTGTAACCTGAGGTACCACTGTACAGGAGTTTGACAAATACATGTCTGTAAGCTTGTGTTTGCAGAGATAACAGTAACAGGATAGGAGATGCTTGCAGCTGAGAATCAGAAGGCAGGAAAGAGAGATGCTCAACCCTTTCCCTCCACCACAACTTCTCGCCTTGAGCAGTTTCTCCCCCTTGTGCTCTATGTGGCCAAGCTCTCTTTTGGTTTTGGAGTGCCGATGGCGGAAAAGAAAGTCTGATCATGGCCAGGAGGGGCATTTGCAGGACAGAATTGACAGGCAGTAGGGGAAGCACCTCTCCTGACTTGCCAGTCCTCTCCTGCAAGTCCCCCGTCCCAACCATCATTCTCCACAGTTGTTTGTAATGTCTAGTTCTGCACTGGAAACAAATTCATTACAAAAATGTACACGCGTGCCACTTGCCAAACACCACAACACCAATACAACCGTGCTGGGCTCGCCTCAATTTGTTTCCCAGGGGATGGACCCAAGCATTGGCTGGTTGGGACCGCCCCCTGGGCAATCCCCAGGACCCAGGCCTGCTGCTGGATCGTTGACCAGGCCGCAATGCGGCCTGACCGTAAGTAAATTTATACAACACTCAATAGTCTTCAAAGACCTGAATTATTTTTTGAGGCACTCAGAACAACCACCAACACTTGATTTCAGCTTAAGCCAGGTAGATACGAGATCCAACAAAATATTTAAAGATAAAAATTCCATTTAAAAAGCAACAAGATCTCTCCCCCCCCCCCAACCCAATCTTTATTGAAATTTTCTAAACTACCTCTGGCAAATACGCACCAGATGCACCAACAGTACTTGTTACCACAAATAAATATATATAAAATAAAAGAAGAGCAGAGATAAGAAAGCACATTTGATTTGAACATCTTTGTTTATGCTACAATACAGATAAGCAGAAAGAATTTACACTGAAACATCCTTTTATATTGCAATGCAGATCACTTCATCAGAAGACATTAGTATTAGTTTAAAAAAGGTAGATAAACTTAGGATTTACTTTTTTAAAAAAAAAGCTTTTCTGGCCTTTTATGTGAAAAAAAAATGAATCACAGCATGAAAATTAATTGTTCTGGCAAGGTTTGATTTAATACTTAGCCAAGCCAAATCCACAAGATGTTCCTGAGACATCGCAGACCTTAAATAATTCTTAATTAGCTTAAGTTTGCTAAATGACCTCTCTCCAGAAGCTACTGTTGCTGGAATTGTTAACAGTATTCTTAAGCTAACACAAACATTTGGAAACAGGTCGGCAAGTTCTGTACTCTGTTAACAAGTTCAACAGATCTAATGGCTTTAACTGTGGATTTACAAATGTGTGTTATGTGCTGTGGGTAAAATGTTTCATTTCTTTCCAAAATCATCTCCATTAAGGTCAGCAGGATATTGCTGTGATAGAGCTTTTCTCTCCACATCGTTTACGGACATTGTGAGACATTTCCACAAGAAATCAATTTTTTCGGTCAACTACTTAACAGCATTGAAATGAACGGTTAAAATCCTGCTATAACATGGTCTATCAAAATGTCAAACACGTTTTCGGAAGCAGGCCTCTTCTGGAGTATCATCTGTGTCATTCCTTTCTTCCAAGTGAGCATCAGGTGTGCTGTAGTATACGGTAGAGTTTTATTTCTTGTTTCCAAGAGCTCTGTGAGAAGAGCTTCTATGTTTGCTACTTCAATATCCAGTGTGGCATCTCTAGCTTGAATGACCTTGTTGCATTTCATAGAATCATAGAATCATAGAGTTGGAAGAGACCACAAGGTCCATCGAGTCCAACCCCCTGCCAAGCAGGAAACATTTATGCCAGCAAATTTTTTTTTTGGGGGGGGGTTGTATGTGTGTTTTGTTATGCCAGCTAATATTTTGTACCACACGGCTGACATTAACACACAGGCAAAAGATGTCACATATAATAAAACTTCATGGACTTCATTTACTGTTTTGTCCATCAAATTTAGTTCTAGGGGGGTATTCCAGTGCCAATTTCATGCCAAGCAAGTGAGTTGCAAAAGGTTTTACACATTCAACACAATCTGGTCAACATGTTTCAGACATACAATGAAAAGAACTGAACAATTTGAATTGTTCCAAAAAACATTTGCTTCATGTATGTCTTCAGCATCAGCATTTCCAGATAAGTTTAATGTGAGACAACTGCAAGGTTAAAAATGCTGTTGAGCATTGTTCTTGTATCCTTGCTTGTGCTCTGTTGTATTTTCTGGCCATATTTGCCCCATTATTGTAGGCTTGAGCTCTACAATCACTGAGAGGAACAACATGTTCTTCCAATGAATCAGTTATCAACTGAGCAATTTCTTCCCCTCTTTTGTTGCTACAATCTGCAAACTTGAGAAATTTTTCTTCAATCTCATACTGTGTTTCTTTTAAAAGTATACATCTGAAAAGAAATGCTATTTCTTCAATATGGGCGGAACCTGGTGTGTGGAATATACTATTACTGCAAAGTACTTTGCTGATTGCCTCTCAAGCAAAATGTGTTGTTTTACAAGATTCAGGCATTCTGCAATAAATTCATTTTGTGAGCCAGGGGACAGATAATGAACTTCAAGCTGCTCACTCCTTTTCTTCTACACTTAGCAAGTTTTCTCGAAGGATGGGTCCCACCTAGAAAGCAGTTTAATGAGTCTAAAAATTTGCTATTGTTTGAATCTCCAATTCTAGGGGATGAAACCAGTAAATGCTACACCACGTTCTCTCAAGAATAGAACAACATTGATGATGCACTTTAAAAGTTTCTACCATTTCAGTTTCAGTTTTTATTGATGCTTCTAAGATGATGTAAACGCATGTCAGAGAGCAGGCACCTTTTTAGCACTCATCAAGCTAGGTAATATTCTCTGTGACTTATCTTTTTCATGTTTTTGGATCCTGTAGGGAAGTTTCTGCCACTTCCCACTAGAATCCCAGCCTTCAGCAGATACCAGTACAGACTTAGACACAGAGGTCCTAATCTCAACTGTCTAAAACTGCCCTTTACCTCATGCTATAACTGATCTCCCTCTGTTCCAGCTTTTAAAATGCTTTCTAGTCTTCACCATTCTTTCAGTCAGTTTCAGATTTGTAAGCAATATTATAAATATAAGTAAAAATTGCAGCTCCCAGCTGTGCTCGTTTGATCAAAATGACAACAATGCAGCAAGAGCTCCCCTGCAAACTTTGAAATAACTTGAGCTGTACTCAGCTGTAAAAGAGACTTCACATTTCCTTGTGTATTATATCTGAGCAACACTGTTTCTTAATTTAACCAATAATTTCAAATTAACTACTCCTTTTGTCAGAGAAAGTCCAAATTAAAATACAGTGGTACCTTGGGTTACATACGCTTCAGGTTACATACGCTTCAGGTTACAGACTCCGCTAACCCAGAAATAGTACCTCGGGTTAAGAACTTTGCTTCAGGATGAGAACAGAAATCGTGCGGCGGCAGCAGGAGGCCCCATTAGCTAAAGTGGCGCTTCAGGTTAAGAACAGTTTCAGGGTGAGAATGGACCTCCGGAATGAATTAAGTACTTAACCCAAGGTCCACTGTACACAGAGATGAATAATTATCCAGTCTTCTATTCATAGTATTAATGAAGCAGAGCACTATGAAATATCCTGGGTGGGTTTCTTTTCTTATTTTGAGTGGCTCCCCCCCCTTTTATTATACCTTAACAAATATAATTTGAAACAATGCAACTATAATAATAATAATTTATTATTTATACCCCACCCATCTCCTGGGAGCCAGCGTACAGCTTCCAGGTCATGTGGCCAGCATGACTAAGCTGCTTCTGGTGAAACCAGAGCAGCGCACGGAAATGCCGTTTTCCTTCCCGCCGGAGCGGTACCTATTTATCTACTTGCACTTTGATGTGCTTTCGAACTGCTAGGTTGGCAGGAGCTGGGACCAAGTAACGGGAGCTCACCCCATCGCGGGGATTCAAACTGCCGACCTTCTGATTGGCAAGTCCTAGGCTCTGTGGTTTAACCCACAGCGCCACCCGCTCTTTATGTAGTCTTACACAAAATGCAAATGCTAGTCTTCACACAATATATGCAAACGTTTTCTGAGGTCCCAGAAAACTTCTGGCTCCCCTCCTTCAGTTCCCTGGTCTCGTTTCGACCCCAGGCAGCGGTATGGTGTACCCCCTGTACATGCCTATGCCGGGCCCTGTAATTAAGTGCATAACTTCATTCTCATAAAACAGTATTTTAATTACATCCACACAGACAGAGTACTGATTCAACAACAATGAAATAAAGAGATCAAGTGCAAAATGTCTCCAACTGATGCAATGCATGGCTTAAGTCGCTTATGTAACTAAGAAGCTGTAGGGTGAAAGGGCAGGAGAACCACCACAGTACATATCTGAACAACAGCTGAAGTGTGAGCTGCGAAAAGCTCATAAAGAGCTTTTACTGGAACCAGAGGAGTCTTGCAAAAATAAGACTGAAAGTGAAGCCATGCTCACAGTCTCTGGTGGGGAGGACCTTGCTGTAATTATCATGTGCGGCAGCGAGATAAGGTTACTGGCAAATGTACAAATAGTACATTAATGCCTTAAAATAACAGAGCATCAAAAACTGGCTTTGGCTTATCTTTTCACACATGAAACTATTAGGAGCCGCCAGCATATAGTGTTGTTGCGTACTTTCAAATGCTCAGCGTGCACTCATGCTTGCTGTATACTATATTCATTCTATGCGTTACATAGGAGAGGCTTTTCTGTTTGTTCTGTGCTTTGCTATTATGTATTTTACTCATTATTTTAAGTCCTCCACACAGAAAATGATTAAGTATTTGTAGTAGGACCTCATTGAATGCAGTGTCAACCTAAGTCATACGTCCAGCGTACATATAAATTCATAACTGCTGCCTCCTGAGTTGTTTTTGCTGCATTTGTAGCACCAAAGTGACCTCACCAGGGCACAAGCCAAGATGGTGTGTTTGGAGGTCCTGGGCTGCCCAGACAACAACACACCCGCCTCACTGGAGTCCTTCTTTCCTGTAGACGGTCTCAGCATCAGCCTTATAAAATTTCAGCCCTGGTGCGCAAATTTCTTATTTGTTGGACAGCAACCACCTGCTGCCACTATAACTGACCCAGACCCTGTACTTGTCTTCTGAGGCCCTTCTCTTTGTCCCCCATCCGGGAAAGGTCTGGAGGGTGTCAACAAGAGAACGGGGCTTTTCTGTGTGTGGTGGCTCCCGACTGTGGAATGCTCTCCCCAGAGAGGCTCGCCTGGTGCCATCATTACATGTCTTACATGTGTTTAGGCAAAAGCATTCCTCTTTACCCAGGCCTATGGCTATTAAATCATCTATGGCCTGTGAAAATTTGGGGGGAAAGGACTGTTATTATGATGACTATTTTATTATTAGGCTGTCTGTCAGTATGCTTTTTATTATGTTGCTATTACGTTTATATCATTGATATTCTGCAATGTGTTTTTGATGTTGTACACTGCCCCGGAATCTTCTGAGAAAGGGTGGTATATAAATTGAAACAGCAACAATAACAGTTCAGCACTAGCCCTGCTACAGCTTCTTCCTCTGGCTGCTTCATTTTGGCTCCTGCAATGCTGTATCTGCCTTTTTATTCTCTTCAGCCAGTCTTTCAACCAAAGGTTATGCTCGGATAATGCAGTATCTCATTGGTTTTTAACTAGACCAATTATTTCAAATGGAATGTGCACTGAAGGATCTATCACAGCCTGATCTTCCTGATTCCACTAACCCAGATTAAAACAGTGGTCTGTGATGCCTAACGATATAACAAAAAACCCAGAAACAAAGCTACCTCTTAACATCTGCATCAGTACTTTTATTTCTTGGCAGACTGCGAAGTGAAGACACACAGGTACCATTATCCAGTTAGAAATAAAACAGCTACAGAGATGTGGCCATGTTTGGAAGGCTGTTTCTTGGCTTGGCTCATACGACACAAGGCCTGCTTGCATCTTGACTTGTAAGATACAATTGTCCAAGCAAGGCTATTCATTGAGCACTATGGCATTGGGTAGGAACTCTTAAGGCACAAATGCCATTTAACTTCACAAACTGCCCTATGGTGGATTATAGCCTTGAAACAACAGGTTTCCATCCTGTCTGCTTCCTGAAGATGATGAAGTACCAAAACCTGGATAAAGTAAAAGCAGTTCAACCCTTTTCAGATCTTTGCTTTGTGTGTCCATGATTCATTAAAACTTGAGCCAACGTCCATGATTCATTCAAGCTGGAGCCACTAAGTATACCACCACACCCATGTTTTCAGGGAAATTTTGAGTCTGAACAGTTAACCTGATTTATTTATTTATTTATGAAAGGTTCCCTTCCAGTTCGGCTTTAACTGAGATTTCACATAAAGATTCTGTTTAGGGGAAGGAGGGAAGAAAATATAGATTCAGTCCTCTTATATTCAGGCCCTGTTTAACAACTTGTCTTAAATTTTACTCTGTCAGGTTAATTATGCACACGACACATATTACACATATTACACAGAGCCCATCTGTCTTAGGGAGGCCAGCTGCCAAATTCAGCAGCAGCAGCAGCAGTGACACATAGAACAAACTACAGTGCTAAATCAGTCACTGCAAACAGAAGGGAAGTGGTTACTGTCCTTCACAGACTACAGTATTTGACAGATTTTGTTGCAGATACCCTATTATTATACCACTTTGCTTATTTGCATGGGTACAGAGATCAAGCTAGTGTTTAAACTTCAAATGGAGAATCAAAAGCAGGCTCTAAGTTTCATTTATATATTTTATTTTTCAAGGCAAATACGGCATTGCACTTTGTGAGTTTTTTAAAGTATCTTTCCTGGCCACCTTGGAAAATGGGTAGGTCATGGCTGAGGCTCAAGCATGAAATGCAGAATTCTATCCTAAACACACATATCAGGTAAATTGCAGTTGGATATTGACATTAACTGGAGTCATATTACAAACAGAATGACAAAACAGAAACATTACCTCAGCATTCATACCTTGCTCAGTCAACACACAGCAGAACAGGGTATCTGGCTTGCAATAACACCCAAAGTAAAAAATTTCAAACTGACTCTATCCTTTGCCTTAATTTTGTACTTTTTATTGTACTATTAGTAAGACAAGCAGGGCCAGCATGCCTTAGCATGAGGGGTTTGTGGCTCTCAGCCACTTTAGTCCATTGATTCCCAAACTTTTAAACTTATGGACCACTGGAAAATTACTGAGGGTCTTGGTGGACCACTTATTGATGTTTTTGCCTGTTGTAGCAATTGTTATGTGCTGTTGTGATCCATGGATGACAGTTTGGGAACCCTTGCTTTAGTCTAAAAGGACATTAATTCTTAAAGCACCAAATTTCACAAGCTGTGCACTCTGCTTGTGCTGGGCAATGACAAAATATTTTGTGGGTATCATCTGAATGTCCATACCTATCCCACCTCAACAGATTGTCATTATGGCTAGCAGTTTCACACTATCTCTAACAATGTGGGAGCGACTTTCCTGTACTGAGATCTAGTGCCACAGTGGTGAACAGCTGGACACAGCAACCAAAGGGGGGTGGCTGATTACAGAAGTCTGTCCCACCAGATCAGTCCTGCCCAAGGGGTTCCTATATTCAAGTCTCTCATTACAGGAGTAGAAGAAAACATGGAGAAGCAGTGCCCACTTCACTTGCATCATTATTCTGGTTCAGTGGGCCAGATCCTTATCAAGATTAGTCTTGCAGGATGAATATGACAGGTGGTTAGGGGGTGCCCACCTTTGTGCAGCCTTGTAAGCCACCCCTTGCTCCCTCTTTAAGCTCCTGGTATTCAAGGTTTAAAAGGGGAGCACAGAGAGACTTGCAAAGGTTTTAAGACAGCCCCCATGTTACTATTTGACTCCAATTGTTTTATTGGATTCTTATAGAGGTAGCCAATGTGGTGTTTTCCAGATGCTGGTGCATTACAACTCCCATCAGCCCCAGCCAGGATGGCCAATGGATGATGGGTGGGTGTTGTAGTCCAACAACATCTGGATGGCACCAGGTTGGCTATCCCCAGATTAATACATTTTCTTTACATCTTCTATAGTCTTCTTCACTCAAATGAGTAGGAAGCCAGTGTCAGTAAGCCAACTAATAATAAAAGTTGGTGAATCAGCCCTGTGAATCAAGATTATTAGCTGGAAAGTAAAGATTACTGAACTGCTTACCAAGATTACTGAATTTGCCTTCTCACTCTCTCCTGAAAGAGACTAATAACATGGGGACTACTGAGCAATCAGTTTCCAAAGATGAGTCACCTGGCTACTGTATAGTAAAAGTACTTGTTTAAAAAACTTAATACCCTACCTTTTTTTCAAAAGTGAACTCAACAAGGTTTATAGCATAAACATAACTACATAAAGCCATACCCCAGAAACATTACATAAAAACCCCAAACAAAACATGAATTATGGATGAACAAAAATAGAACAACAAAGCCAAGAGAATAAACTAAAAGCCTTCTGGTACAGACATGTTTGGGCAAGATATGCAAAACAATTAGGAGGGCATTCCACAAAAATGAGGGCTACTACTCAAACCATCCTACTTATGGTGGGTACCCACCGTATCTTCTTAAGCTGTGGAACCTGGAGTAAGACTTCAGATGCTGAACACATTATGCAGGAAGAAATTGATGTTAAGAAAGTGGCCTTTAAATACCCAGCTCTCAACCATTCAGGCCCTAACACTTGAAGCCAGCACCTTGAATTGAGCCTGGACACAAATTGGCAGCCAGTGTGGAGTGAGCAAAGTGGTGCAATATGTTCTGGGTACCTAGCCCCAAGTCAGCAACCTGGCTGAAATATTTTGTGTATTTTGAGAAACCAGCAGCTGCAAAATCCACATTAAACTCTGCTTTGGATGAGTCCTCTGCCAGGAAAGGTCACTGCTAGTTTACTAGGAAAAAGCATGCAGTTAAGGATGAGAAGGGCAGTTCTTGTGACCTCTCATACCTGAGCCATTTGCCCTTTTAACTACAGAATGAACTGCCAGGAAGTCTTTTTAGATCTACAGAAAGAAACTTAAATAGGTAAAAGGTAAAAGCACATAGGATAGATATGCAGAAGAAATAAAACAATGCAATAGGAGCTTGCAGGGCTTCAGGTTCACATCTCTCTCTCTCTCTCGTGTATGTGTGTGTGTAGAATAGTGTTCAATGCAAGAAAGAAACAGCTTCCTCAGGAAGCTCCATGTTTGGCTATAACAGATTATTTTGTAACATATCTACTGTCATGCAGGGCTGCAAGTAGATACTTCGCTCCTCATACCAATACCACCAGGAAACATAATCTTTAATTACAGTATGTGTTGTGTGACTCAATTCTATATTTTTATCTGTCCTGAATCCAGTGCCAAACAATTTTATGGGATAACTCTTAGTTTCTAGCTTCATAAGGAGGAGATTTTTTTAATATAAAAAACTATCCTTTTAATAATTTTATCAAACTCCATCATGTCCCCCCAAAGCTTTAACCTTTTCTCATAAGGGAAGATGTTCCAACCAATGAATTGTTTTCTGTTCTTTACTGTAGCCCTTTTATCCTTTTGGATATGAGGTGACCAGAATTGTACACAGTATTCCAAATGTGTCTGTGCTCTAAGTAATAGAAAAAGGATTATGATACTGGAAATTTTATTATCAATCCTTTCCCTAATAACTTCTGACATGCAGTTTGCCTTTTTCATTGCCACTGGTTATTAACATTTACGTGAGTGAGCTGTCCACCACAACCCCAGGAACTTTTTCTTGGGTGACTGACAGATTGATTCTTGTGCCCTCCTGGAATGAAATCATAGGCGTAATTCTGAAATGGAGGGGAGCTAGATTTTTCAGATGTCAATTAGTGACAATCTGACAGAGAAGCATGGATTATGGAACTCTCCCTGAACACAAGACAGAAAAAGATGGTGAGATGTGTTCTCCTAGGTAAACAACTAAGGTGCATGCCACTCTTGAATATTTTGAAACTGGATGAACTGATGTCTTGTCTTTGAAAGACCTTCTACTCTACCTTGAGATATTACACAGCAAGGAGAAGGGACAGAAGCATTCAGTTCACAGGGTGTGTCTATTATTTGGCATGGCTGGTTTCTCAAGAATGTTCATAAAGTGCTGCTGCTATGATGGGGAGGGGGGTCATTGCCAGAATGGGATATTTAAAAGGTCTAACAGCCTATATTGGGCTTCACTGTGCTGCATGATTTTGTACTTTTAAACTGCCGGGGGCTCTCTCTGGGTGAAGAGCATGTTTAGTCACTGGAAGGACAGATCCTGAAGCTGAGGCTCCAATACTTTGGCCACCTCATGAGAAGAGAAGACTCTCTGGAAAAGACCCTGATGTTGGGAAAGATGGAGGGCACAAGGAGAAGGGGGTGACAGAGGACGAGATGGTTGGATAGTGTTCTCGAAGCTACCAGCATGAGTTTGACTAAACTGTGGGAGGCAGTGGAAGACAGAAGTGCCTGGCGTACTCTGGTCCATGGGGTCACGAAGAGTCGGACATGACTAAACAACAACAACTAGGATCTAGGGATCCAGTCAGTTCTTTTATTGTCCCACATGGGCGATATATTATCTATTCCCCCCCACCATCCCACAACTAGGACCTCCTGGTGTTCTGAAACCCTGGCCTGGGAATGGGGAGCCTGTGGCTCTTAAAAGGTTGCTGTGTTGCAGTTCCCACTGGTCATGCTGGTTGCAGTTGACTGGAGTTGTAATCCAACAATATCTAGAGTGAGGCAGGTTCCTCCTCCCTGCCCTAGACACTGTGTTAGAAGCAGAAATAAAATGCAAGGGATATTGCCGGCCAGAAACATTTTAAGATATGAAGCTAGAGTTGGTTTTTACCACAAGTAAGCTACGAGGGAGACAGATCGGCATATGTGGCTATTTAGGCTAAGTGGGTGTGGGAAGAAGCTTCCTGACTCCAACACCATTCACTTCATACCAAATTGTATGCATGAAACCTAATCAGGTTTCTGTATGTGTCCTATCCTATCTTTTATATAAAAAGTAAAATACGTAACACTATCATAGCAGTAAACTTTATACGAGCTAATACAATTCTTCAAAGAAGTAATGCTATTTAACTTTTATATTTATAGCCAGTTAAGAACACCTTTACCCAGGAGGCAAACCCTGCAAGAGGACATGATCCAGTGTTAATATTGAGCATGCCAAGCACCATAAAGTGCCCTTCAGCAAGAACAGTTGGCTCCCAACATACTTTTACACAACTCTCTGGCATTTTTGTAGTGAAAAAGCCATGTAAACAAATTATATAAGTAGAAAGCTTCCAAATATTCAGACATGGCAAATACAGTGGTGCCTCAGGTTACATACGCTTCAGGTTACATATGCTTCAGGTTACGGACTCTGCTAACCCAGAAATAGTACCTCGGGTTAAGAACTTTGCTTCAGGATGAGAACAGAAATCGTGCTCCAGCGGCGGCAGCAGGAGGCCCCATTAGGTAAAGTGGTGCTTCAGGTTAAGAACAGTTTCAGGTTAAGAATGGACCTCCGGAATGAATTAAGTACTTAACCCGAGGTACCACTGTACACCAGTAAAGAAACTCACTTAACACCTTGATCCTAATTATTTTGCCCTGGGAATATATCCCACTGGGGATGCATCCATACATGGCTGATTTAGCCACACCCACTCATCATTCTGCTTTAAGCTGAAAGAAGAACAGCAACTCTATTTTCAGACTACCAACTCTCTGTTGCCAAGTGGATAGTCCCCCTTTCTTCAGCCCCAAATGTTGGAGGAGGGCAATGGGTGGGGGAAGAATTAAACAGTCCCTCTCCCCACCACCAACTACACTCCCAGTTTTGACTGCACGGTGCAAACAAATTTAGAGTGACTGGTTTTCTGATCAGTATATTTACGACTGCAATCCTAACTATACTTGGTTTTATCTAAACAGAAGCAGCACCCAGGCCAGTCCAAAGGCTTCCCACCTCTCCTCCGCCAATGTGTGCCCTGTGCCATTCCCAAATCTGATCCCGAGGTTTGGGGGAATCCCCAGAACAGATTTAGGGGGCATGTGTGGGAGGGTAATGAAAAAATGATCTGTTGCGCAGGGGAAATCCTTGCCCTGACAGAATCTTGGCTGTAGCGCTATGTTACATACAACCCAGTGTTCAAAATAAAAGCAATGCCTTCACAACCAAATTGTTCTCCCTCCAATTTCGGTCATGCTGCCCCCCTAAAAAAACCCTGGAAATTATTATTCTCATGTACAGATGAGGAATTGACACTGAGAAAAAAAGCGACTTGCCTCAGGCAACATATAGCAAGTCAATGTCAGGAAAAAACTTTTTCACTACTTCCAATATTATTTAACCAAGCTAAGAAAAGGCAGAACTCTACATCCATCAAAACTCAAAAGTGGGTTTAAACTGTCAATTCCTGGGAAGTTATTCAAAACAAAAATCACAAAATTTGGAGAAACTAACATGTCTGTTCTGACTGGGTCTTCCTCACATTCAGCCCCAATGGAATAGACTTCTACTCTTCCACCACCGCCCATGGAGGAAGCTTTATAGAAGACTCCATAAAACTTTAGAACTTTGACTAGGCATGCCCACCAGTAGTATAAAGTCTCTTCATGAAGCGGAACACTCTGGATAATTCAGCAAATGTTTGAGAAGGTTGCCATAAGAAAATCTCCCTCCCCCTTTCATCACAATGAAGAAACATGAAGGGAAAGAAAGACGTTCCCGCCATTCAATCACAGCAGTAATTTCCTCAAGTTTTCAGTAGCGTTTCAAAAGTAAGAACAAAACTATTGTTTGCAGAGATGTCTACAAACTTAAAATCCGCAAGGAGGCCCTTTAGGCAGAAAGCAATTTCTAGAAAGTGTCTCTTCTCTCAGCCGCTCCTGCTATGCTATTGACCCAAAAGTGAACTCCTTAGGAAGAAGATAATTGCTGCCACAGATGGCAATATACAGTTGAATTTTTTAAAAAAGAAAGGGCATGACTTTCAGAATTGAGATTACAAGAATGAGGAAATGGACATACTATCTGCATGCTGCAGATTCTGTGGAAGCAGGAAGTTTACACACATCTTGCTTCTGTGTTGAACTCTGTGTGTGTTGGTGGGAAGACTGCTAAACACTGGCATTCAGAAAGGTTTCCTTTTGGTCTCTATATCCTCTTTCGATAAAACTTGCACTATATTTACATCACTACTACCATTTTTATTGCAGCTTATTATAGCTGAAGCCGATGATCCATCTGCTGCATCCTTTGGGTGCTTTGCTGTACTACCTTCGTGACAGCAGTGGAAGAGGAGGCGTTTGGAAGATGGTCCAGATAAGTGAACCTCAGGCCTGGGTGTCAATTTTTTTTGCCCTAGGGATCCTCTCTAGGTCACAGTCATTCCTGGCCCTGCTTTGCAACCTCCTTGCATGGGTACCGAAGGGGGTGTGAGTGTGCATGGAAACTGGCCTATCGCGCATAGGTAAAATTTTACATTTGTTGCTCTGCCCACTTCTGTGTCCAGCCCCACCCACTGCGGGCATGTGGAGCTCACAATGCTGCACAAAAGGGAATGCATCCCTTGGGCTGCAAGAGGTCCCCCCCCCCCAAGTTAGCCCCACTGCAGCTCCATGGACATGCACAACCTATGAGAGATGCTGGCTCCCCATACTTCATATCAACATATCAAAGAGAAGGACAAAGGACTTGGCTCTTAACATCTGTTTTCAATGATCATTTCTAGGGTTTTTCCATTTAGGGATATGATGGTTTCCTTGTCCGTAAGTCTGCTGTGTGAGTATGGACTCTTGTGCGGTACAGTCGTACCTTGGATCCCAAATGCTTTGCGAGTCAAATGTTTTGGCTCCCGAACGCCGCAAACCCGGAAGTGAGTGTTTCGGTTTGCGAACGTTCTTTGGAACCTGAACGTCTGATGCAACTTCTATGGCTTCCGATTGGCTGCAGGAGCTTCCTGCAGCCAATCGGAAGCCGTACGTTGGTTTCTGAACGTTTTGGAAGTCGAGTGGACTTCTGAAACGGATTCCGTTCGACTTCTGAGGTACCACTGCATTTCAGAGAAAGCTGCCATCAAAATATCAGTCTTAAAAATATTAAAGTGGAATGTTACTAGGCTTCGTAGGTAGGGAGGCATGTGTGTTGGAATTGTTTGCATATTCTTTATCAAACCTCAGAAGCGAGAGGTTATCTGGGAAGGCTTGCTGAGTTCAGCTGGTGTGGCTACTGTTCTATCAGTGCTTATTGGCCTCCTTCCATTTATAGCTTCTCCCTGACTTTTAATTATACTAGCTCTTCCATATATATTCTATGTTCTTTGAAAATCCATACAAAATATTATGTTTTCTGCTTTAAAATGCAAAGCACACATTTATGAAGTTCAAAATTAGTAAGAACAATTGGTTCCCCCCCCATATTTTTTTTTGCAGAGTACATCCACTACCTTCATTATAGTTCACAAATCACGTTAGAGGTAGCCAAAACCCAGACTTGTTAAAAGGACAAGACTCCAAATGCCCTAGGCCGCGTAGGTGTATATAAGGGGAAGCTGTGTGTCTGCAATACTCTTAAAACCAGGGCTAAAAATAGACCCATCTGAACTGAAGTTTTATACACATTGTATTAAAGACGCTTCAGACATAATAGGATTTGCTGGGTAGCCCAAACCAGTTACAGCAGATTTCAGGTTGGCCTCTGTTCAAGGAAGGAAACAAGGTAGGAGAATGCCACACCATTTACACGCCACTTCAGCACAGCAGCACTTTCCTGACTGATAAAAAAATTATCTGTATTGTACACTAACAGAATTTGTGCTCCAGGAAGGCCAATGAGTCATATCGCCCATCAAAACAAGTATTTTTTATAAATAAGACAAAGAGGTACAGGAATTAAGTAGTTTTTCAACTAGGGACTATTAAGAGACACAAGAAGCTCAATGTTTATCTTAAAAAGTATTTATATACCTTCATGTCATAAAATATCAAGGTGGTGTACAACAATGTGTATTCAATAAAACATAAAACACCCTTAAAAAACAGTACAGTAAAGGATAGCATAATGGTGAGAAGCCTAAGCTCAATTCCAGCCTGCAATAAGGTTCTCTGCTCTTGCACATAAAAGAAGGAACAGAAACTCTTGAGCCTTATTGCTTTCTTGGAACCTCTTTCCCCTATGGGCTAATAGGATCCAATATTTGTTTCTTATTAAGCATACTTTTCTTCGGGACTTGAGACGACAAAACAATCTAACCGGTGTCCCTTGGACCTTGCATGCTAGGAACATTTATATTACTCATACAGTTTCACATAAAGAGAAATACAGTGGTACCTTGGGTTACAGACGCTTCAGGTTACAGATGCTTCAGGTTACAGACTCCGCTAACCCAGAAATAGTACCTCAGGTTAAGAACTTTGCTTCAGGATGAGAACAGAAATCGTGCGGCGGCGGTGCGGCAGCAGCAGGAGGCCCCATTAGCTAAAGTGGTGCTTCAGGTTAAGAACAGTTTCAGGTTAAGAACGGACCTCCAGAACGAATTAAGTTCTTAACCCGAGGTACCACTGTAGGGGGAAACTTGAGCAAAATATGGACTGAAGCTATGGCCTAAACAATTAAGAGTAATTAAAAAAAACAATTTTATTAATAAATTGAGAATTATATAGTGCTTTAGAAAGTTCAAAGCACTCCCTCCCAGACATTATCATAGTAATCCAAAGAACTCTGAAGTAAGCCAACATCATTATCATCACCATATTGCAGACGGTTAGCTGCAGCTTTTTAAGGCCATCAAGTGAATTTATGCTAGAGACAAAATACTTACAAAACTGGATTACTACATCAACTCTTTATTCCTCTAATTTCCACTCACTCAACATTACAGTGTCAAATCGACAGCCAATTCTGGGCTGGGAATATTTCTTGCAGGACTAGATATTCAGCAGCAGGGAATATCTAAGGACTGGAGGTAAACCTGTGATCACATTTCCCCCTTCCCAATTAACTGTTCTCTGCTTTGTTGCATTTTATAGAGCATGCAAGGCAACTCAAGAACTCTAGTTCAGGGGTCGGCAACCTAAGGCCCATGGGCCACAAGAGGCCCACGGGGGTCGTTTTACCACCCTATCAGCCACTCCCGAACCGAGCCGCCCGCTCAGCAAGTCCCTGTGTGCTGCGCTAAACCGGCACAGCGCAGCGCAGCACAGGGACTTGCTTTTGCGGCACCGGAAATCGTGCCTGCGCTAACGCAGACGTTGGAAATTGCGGGTGTGCACACTCACACCCACCCACAATCCGGCCCACAGAAGGGGCTCCGTGGCAGTGAATTGGCCCAGGCAAGGTAAGCCTTGCCAACCGCTGCTCTAGTTAGTAGGTGTGGTATAAATACACCAAGACAAACCAAAAGGGCAAGATAAAATCAGCACCCTATAGAGAACATTAGTGATAACATATCCATTAAATATTAAATGAATTGTGGTTGGAGAATTAAGGCTGCTTCATGCACTGTGGTAGTAGTATATACATTACAAAACACACACACACACACACTTCTCCATGGCAACGCCTCCACCCAAGGTGTCACGATATACAGGCAACGACCAATTAAGGCACGTCTGAAAGACAATTGATGGCACACGTGTGCATGGTGCTAAACTCGGAAGTGACAAAAAAGTCACCCAACACATCACAAAAATGGTACAATGGGGGCATAACAGGGCAGGGCACACTTATACGTGTTCTGCTGATGCACGCAGGAGCCAGGAACAGAACTCCCATATGAAATGGTCATTAACTGTATATTAAGAGGCTAACCAGTTGAATGGCACTACTGCAGAGAAATTCTACGCCACACCACCTTCCTGGGACTACAGTGGGGGCTTTTCTCAGTGGTAATCCCTTCACATGGGTTTAAAAGTTTTATTTGCAGACATGCTCTGTCTACTATGATGGCTGATCGCCTCTTTGAAAGACATGCAACTTCTGTCACTAGAGCTATACATGGTTGTACGTTAGCCAATTATTTTATAAAGCAAACTAACTGGAACAGAATACCAGCTGGAAGAGAATACAATTAAGACAATTAAGCATGTTGCATACATGCATTTATTGTAGTACTGCAAAGACGTTCCCTGCCCTGTCCTCTTCAGCTCTGTAGCCTGATAAGGTTCTTTATGAAGAACATCACAATACTTTTAGCAAAGTTTGGTCTCCAGTGAATGGCTCTGTGAATGAATTATATAGATCCAACAGAATATTTCCTTTAATGAAAAGATTATCTCTATTCATAATTAGTTGGTGTACCAATATGCTAAATCCACACACTGCAGGTTTAAGCATCTTTGGCATGGTTAAAAAGGTAAAGGTACCCCTGCCTGTACGGGCCAGTCGTGTCCGACTCTAGGGTTGTGTGCCCATCTCACTTAAGAGGCCGGGGGCCAGCGCTGTCCGGAGACACTTCCAGGTCACGTGGCCAGCGTGACGAAGCTGCTCTGGCGAGCCAGCACCAGCACAGCACACGGAAACGCCATTTACCTTCCCGCTGGTAAGCGGTCCCTATTTATCTACTTGCACTTAAGGGTGCTTTCGAACTGCTAGGTGGGCAGGAGCTGGGACCGAAAGACGGGAGCTCACCCCGCCGCGGGGATTCGAACCGCCGACCATGCGATCGGCAAGTCCTAGGCACTGAGGTTTTACCCACAGCGCCACCCGCGTCCCTTTGGCATGGTTACTGCAAAGCATATTTAACTCAACAGGGTTCTTTCTTTTTTAAACACATCCATGTGTGCTTAGGAGCTATTTTGCTTCTAAACAAAAAGAAACATATGAGTGAACAAGCTGCAATTCACCATAATTCAAGCTAATTAGCTATACAGAAAACCAGACTCCCATCTGTCAATTCTGTAGGGCTGGAAAAAAAATACTTCATCAAATCCCTTCCACTGAAGCGCAATTCCCATTCACACAAGACAACCAAGTTTATCCTTTCTCTCTCATTTAATTAAACTTTATTAACAAATAAAATATATACAACAATAAAAGAGGAAAATCTTTTTTTATAATACAACAAGTTACTCTCAAACACATCTCAAATGCTAACATTTTATTTGTATTTTCCTACCCTTGCCTTGCTCTCTATATTTTTTATAAAATCAAGTAGTCCACTCTAACACTGGAAATACCCAATTCTCTTTTTACATAAGTAGTTAGCTGACTCCATTTATTTAATTCTTCTTGCTAATTAACTGCGTACTTTAACATTGCTCACAATTTAATCAAGCTCAGCTGCTCCCAGATATTTTTGATGATATTCTGCTTTGTTGGTTGTATGCCATGCTTTGGCATATAACAGCCTTGCAACAGTCAAAACATGTAGACTCTGGATCTTATATAAATATTGGGACTGTCTTTTTACAAAATGTTATAAGCAGACTAGGGGACTTAACAGGAGATCAATTTGCAAGTTTTTTCTTATAATTTCAGCTACTGTACACAGTTCTAAAACACTTTGCTTTAATTCACCCATACCATAAATGGAAGAACTCTCTATGTAATCTCTGCAGATTATTTTTTCCTCTGTTATTATTTTGTAGAGTTTAGAAAACATTTTCTACCCCTCTCCTTACTAAATTTTCAAATTTTCCTGGTTCTCAATTTAACTTATACCTTTGTTCAGTATGTTCTTATGTGTACCAATGAAACAGGTAGATTAGATGCAACATTACCATACTTCCCCACAAACAAACAAAATAACTGAAGACTTTGAATGCATTTCTTTGTCTAACAAGATTCTTTTAGCCCAAACAGTGTAAAAATAGCAAGAATAACCTAGACCAGTAGATATTTATTGTGCCACACCTTGTTTTCAGATGTGATGCGTGCTTTATGCACTTCTGTAATGTGCTGCATGCTCAAAGTATATATACAGTAAGTAGAAATAAAATTTTGCATCTCAGTTTCAATAGAAAGTAATAATGCTGTAGGCTTAGCTGTCTCAACTTGTTCTTCCAACACTGACAAATGCTGAAAATATATTTCATACCATAAAGGTCACATATTGGAAAGAGAATTGGTTCTCCTTTGATAGAATTGGTTCTCCTTTGACAGAATTGGTTCTCCTTTAATATAGGGTCTGATCCTATTTAAATTCTCTCCAAGGCTATAGAATAATAGGGGTGTATTTTAACATAGAAGGTAGGGATTTTTTTTTCTTAAAACAGCAATGCTGAAGGATGCTATTTAGGTGCACTTTTAACTATCTGATAAAAAAATGTAAATACATATAATCTCTCTTTTTAAACTCCTATTGACTTCCCAGTTGCTGACTGTAAACTTAATTTATGGAGACATTGCACACAACTGGAAAGTTGACTGAACTGGCAATCGTAAATGTTATAAAGTAACTATTTAATGGTTGTGTATTAACTTATTTCTTTGGCTGAGAAGGAAGGTAAACAAATTAGTATTGTTTTATTTGCGGCATTAAGCCATATATTACAAACAGATGTGACATTACATAATTTGTTTTTAATGCATCAAGTACACCTAACAATGGAACAGTTGGGTCTTGGAACCTGAAATTGACACACAGGTGAACATCCCTCGGCACCTTGGCAACTGCAAACTTGCAGATGGGCATGTGAACTGGTTCCCTTGTGCTTGATCCAGAAGCTGCAGTTAGTGCAGAATACTGCAGCACAACTGCTGACGGGAGTGAGACATGGTCAACATAGAACACCTGTGCTTAGAGATCTGCACTGGTGGCCGATTTGCTGCTGGGCGAAGTTCAAGGTGTTACTATTAGCATGTAAAGCCCTTGACAACTTGGGACCAGTTTACCTATGAGATTGCTTTATCCAGGCCCATGCAGAGTTTGCCTGAGGCCTGGGGCAGGAGTCTTGACCAGGCCACACTGAGAAGGTCTGGCAGGCACCTGGTGCCCTCCCCAGCCAGCGTAGCCCTCCAAGGGTCAAGGAAAGTGGCTATCCACCCTACATGGGCTTACTCAACCACTCTGATCAGCGGAATTGACACTACTAGAGGCACCACATAATAATACCCATTCCGCATTTGTAAAAATTTGATCGTTTAGTGTAGCAGCACTTGCACTTCGGAATTCCCCAACCGCTGAAATCAAGCAGGCACCTTCACTGTACTCTTTTTGGTGCCTGCTTAAGCATTCTTGTTCAGACAAGTTTACCCAGGTGCTTACAAAGTTGAAGTAATTTTAATTTGTTTTAGCATTTTAACTTTCGCATGTTTTAAGGTAAGGTTATGAATTTGTCTGTATTTTGTTGTTTCACCTTTCTGTAAAGCGCTTTGAAATTGAAACCTAACAACAGCAACAATTGGAGGGTACTGAGCAAGAGAGGGAGCTCCTGCAGCTTGTTCCTGATTGGAAAAACCATGGGTGCTTCAATCAAATAGTTTCTTAAAGTCTTTAGAGATCGAAACAGACAGGCTCTGTCAACACAGCAAGGTGGCAACATGAGACGGCGGGAAGAGGTATGAAAGGAAGTGGTGTCTGAATGGTGCATGTCTGCAAACCAGACATGAAGGCTAGATGCCTTCATCTGCCCCACTCCCGTATCGGTCTCTATAGTCACAGCAGGTGCTGTAAGTCTCCAGTGGTTTGACTTCACCCCCAAAGACGGACTCCTCCATCGTCTCCCAAGACAGATGGATGCCAACAACAGCATATTACAACCACACACAAAAACCTTCCCTTTTTAATGTTTTCTTCACCTATGCTATCAGGGCCATCAACAAACATCCAAGTTATTTTCACTGAAGATTTCTAGAAGCCAACGTGGTGGGGTTGTTTCCAGGCAAAATTAATAAGGCAACAGAAGAATCTAGAACAAGGTTCTCAAATGAGCAGAATATTTACAGTAAATGAGATTGATGACTATTTTTTTTCCAGATCATGCCTCAACCATCTTCCAAGATGAACTAGAATTTAATTTTAGAGCAACACAAAAGATCAACCATCTGTTGAAATATACCTGTCACTGTTAACTTTGCTGTGCGATAATTGAGCATCAGTTACTCATTCATCAAGGAGGGGATGACTGAAACATCCTTCCCTAAAAATATTCCTGCTGTGGCAACATCATATTCCCCCAGTACCCAAACCACAATATTTTGTTTGAGGGAAGATTACTTTTGAGTGCTATGTAGAATGTGGCTGCATGAATGTCATAGGCACCTCCCACTGAACGACTGTAACATGACTGACAATGCTTTGATCCCTTCTAAATATTTTTTAGAATGAGCATTCTTCAGTGTATCACCTCCCCCTACTAGCTTTTTGGGGCAAGGATGGACCAGAGTTGTTGTGCTTTTTGGGGGGAAGATGGACAAAAAAAATTGATTGGTTGGATATGCCTGATATACTGCATCCACGGCAATTTGAAACTGTGCTGCTGGTGCTGGATGTGTGGCAATGCCAGTATGAACAGAAAACAGTGTAGGTTTGGGTTGCTTGAATGGTTCTCATTCTACAGTGGTGAGAGCTCATAGAACTCTGGCATCATCACACTGAAAGTCTTTTCCATGGCCATGTTCATTCTGCCAAGCATGTGTTTTATTTTGGGCTGACAATCTAGCATATAAAATACAGTATCTCAGCCCTCCGTCACTGCACAGAGTAGACAAAGGTTTAAAAATGTATGGGAACCAGAGCAAAGTTTAAGCAGAACTCAGGACTTAATACAGTGTTCTCTCTTATAATTAAAAGCAGATTTACTAAATAAATAGGTTTTCTTAATTCACAGAATTTATATAAAAATCTACAAAACTTTTATGCAGAACTGAAAGATTAGCATGTGACTGGGGGGGTTCCCCCCCCCTTTTTAAGTAGTACAGGACATTACATTTCCTCATCTCTTCCAAGTAAGATAGTCTTGGGAACATTTTTTGGAGGACAGAGAAGAGAGTATCAATGCAAAAAAGAAAGAAAGAAAGAAAGAAAGAAAGAAAGAAAGAAAGAAAGAGGAATGTTGTAAGATATATTATTACTGCCTTCATCATCCAGGGGTTTCAGGACGCAACCAAATCTTATCAATTATCAAGACTTTATGAATTTCATCAGCCTATCTACAAGACTTTGAAACGTGCTCAAGGCCCCAAGCCACAAAACTTCAAACACTTCAAAGCGAACTCCCACAAGAGTTGTAGGTTCAATAGCTCCAACTCCTGCGAAATTCAGGAGTCCTGGAGGACTGTCTATTGAGCTAAGAAAGAGAACTTTTTATTTTAAAAAATAATATTTAGTATTTCTTCTTGACCAGCAGATCAAGAGTATCACCCCAAGTTGTCTACATGAGCAACGTTTGCATGATCCAAATTCACGTTGTGAAATGGGTGCTGAGTGGCAAGGAGGAAGTTCCCATAGCTGGATTATTTGTATTCCAGCATAACTTGCACATGGGGCATTCCTTATAATGTGGTCCCTTCCGCTAATCATCGGTGGTAGAGGAATTAAATGATTGTTCTATTGCCGTTTTACTTATTGACTAAAAATTATTTGAAATGAAGCTTCAATAGGGCATTACTGGAAGAATGCTTGTGAGATAGTTGGCATACAACTGGGATAAATCCTGTCATGTATTCATTCAAGTGCTGCAATACTAATGTACTTTTCCATTTATGACTTGGAGAGAGGAGAAAGAACCACTGACAAAAATCATTATCAGAAGCATTACTCTATCTTCAATATAACCTATTCTAAAATCTCTATGAGACAGTTGTAGAGGCTGAAGATCCCTGCCTTCCCAGAGTTGCCTAAATCTCCTTCTCCCTTGGGTCCTTCTCAAGCAATCTGAGACTATACCAATGTGTCAATCTCTGCTACTCTCTCTTCATACATCTCCTGGTCCTGGGAGACCAGGGTGGAGGGGAGCTTGTCACAGCAGGAGGGGAAGACACCCTCACCAGCCTGACTCATCTCTGCTTCTTGGCCTCACTCCTCTCCTGCTTCTGAATCTGATTCTGGACTTCTGTTCCATAGACTCTCCCTCCTCACTAAACCCTGTTACCTCTTCAGCTTCTGCCACCTCCTCCTCCGAGGCTTCTCCTCCTTCTCCCTCAGACTACTCAGCATTGTCCCACCACTAATTCCCAGGCTCTGGGCCTTCTCCCTTTGGAAGTTGCCCAGCTGGTGCCTCCCACCATTCCTCTGTGCCCAGCTAGTCCATGACACTCAACAATGCCCCTTCTCTAATCCATATTCCCTGTCTATTACCTAGCAAAATGAAGCATGAATCTCAGCTGGCATATTATGGTAGGACATACAAGATGGATTGCAGACATACTACCACCCACTCCTAAGCCGTTGTTGTACATGAAAGCATTGTGCATAGGAACACAGGAAGCTGTCTTTATAGAGTGAAGTTATTGGTTCACCTAGCTCAGCATTGTCTACACTGAATGGTAATGACTTGCCAGGGTTTCAGATGGAGTTTTCCCCAGCCCTACCTGGATATATACGGGATGAGTCAGAGACATTATGCGTGCAAAGCAAATGTTCTAATGAGCTATGGGCCCTTCTCAGGTATATTATCAAAAAACTATTCCCTGGTTTTACCAAATGTGCATTTCATTTCTTGAATGCTGTTAAAGAACAATGGAACCCAAACACTTGCAAGGTGATTGGCTGAAAGCAACTCAGTTCTCATTAGAATGCTCAAAGCAGAGTTTCCTTTGTTAATTAACTATTCCGCCACACTTAAACTATGGGGGAGGGGGGGAATAAACTGGCCAAAGCAGCATTTTTACTTAATATATCTTAACTGGAGTGGCTGAGCAGCATTAACAGACAAAATGAATAAATTATGAGAGCAACTTAAAATCCAGTTGGCACTGCTGTTCCCACTATCACACACCAGATGAGCAGTGAGCACCCCATGAACCGGCAGGTGCAAAGGCAGACAACTTGGCAGAGCATAGCTCAGTATAACTAGCAACAAATGTGCAAGCATCCTTTGAATTGTTAATGAAATACTGCTTCCACTTAAGCTGGAAGAGACTTTTTAAAATATGCATCAAGTTGTTGAAATCTCTCTAGCATGGATCAACTCAGATCCATGACCCTTTCATTAGTACCATGGGAGAAAGGCAGCATTGTTATATTTATGCCTTCCTTAAGGGTAGACATTTACTTACTGACAGAATTCATACCCTAGTCTTCAGCCAAAAGGGGTCTCAGAGCAGCTCACGTTAGATAAAAACAAGCCACTCCTTACCCACAGGCTTACAATCTAAAAACCACAACACACAAGGGAAAAGGGACGAGGAAAGAGGACAAACAAAAGCAAAACTCAAGACACCAATTTGTTCCAGAAAATATCTCTTCACCGTAGCCTGATGAGTGATGCTGTGTCATCAAGCTTCAGTTATTGTGAATGATAAACATTTGGGCCAGAATTCAGTGCAAATTTTAGTGTAGGACTGGGGGCAGCCAGACATCAGATTCCATTCCATTTTAGGACACCTGGATAAAATTGTTACAATCCATTCTGACTTGGATAATGTGCTTATTAATAATATTTCTTTCTTCTTATTATATTTTCATTATAAAAATTAAGCAGCATCAAACTGGATGTCAATGGCATCATTCTATTAGAACTGCTTGAGTTTCAATTGTTGCAGCTTGTCCATCCACAATCTTTGCTTTAGGCCCTTGTACAAACCGTTCAATTATAACAAGCCAAGAGAAGGCTCAGTGAAGGGGTGGGTTCCACAGTTAAGGAAGCTTAGTTTGAATTTTTCATAATCTGTATCATTTGTATTTGATTGTGTGTGTTTATCCTTTGTGAACTGCCTTGGGGGTCTTTTTGGTGGAAAGGCGGCTTATAAATAAACAGTAGCGGAAGCAGACAAAAAACCCAGTTTGAAGAAACCCCCCTTGGATTTTCTATAAAATCTTGGAAATTAAATGCTAGGCTCAAAACATTTCATTCACTAGCAAGGTGATAAAGTGGGTCAACTGCAATTTCTCTTGGGTGAAATGGATTATTTAGATCCATTTCAATCTTGGGTACATACAATTTAAACTTTAATACACTGAAAAAGATATCCATGTAGGAAAGTCCTTGGAGTCTTATAACCAGAGGGTTTACATTATCCTTTTTTCTTGCTCAGAGTTCATTTAAGCAAGAAATAAAGACTGATGGAACATTTAACACAATGCAAACCTATACTTAAAGGATACAGTTCAAGAGGTCAGTTAAGGCTGTCATGCTGCAAAGACATGCACAGTACTTACCTCTCTTTACTTAATGCAAATAAATGAATACTTGCAATGGATGTTAAGCAGTTTTGCACTGCCTAAAAATCATGCATTTATATCTATGCAATGGTAAGAAAACGTTCATTTTCATGAATTTCAAAAATTAAATACACTTGTTTGGGTATCTTAAGGAGTTTTCACTTCCGGTAGGAGGAAATGTTGCACCACAACTTCATAAAGGGATCCAGCGGTTCTCAACCTGTGGGTCCCCAGATGTTGTTGGACTACAACTCCCATCATCCCTGAGCTCTGGCCTTGCTAGCTAGGGGTGATGGGAGTTGTAATTCAGCAACATCTGGGGACCCACAGGTTGAGAAAGGCTGGATTAGACCATGGGTATGCAAACTAAGGCCCGGGGGCCAGATCCGGCCCAATTGTCTTTTCAATCTGGCCAGTGGACGGTCCGGGAATCAGTGTGTTTTGACATGAGTAGAATGTGTCCTTTTATTTAAAATGCATCTCTGGGTTATTTGTGGGGCATAGGAATTTGTTCATCCCCCCCAAAAAAAATCTAGTCCAGCCCCCCACAAGTTCCGAGGTAGAGTGGATTGGCCCCCTGCCGAAAAAGTTTGCTGACCCCTGGTTTAGACTGTTCTGAGACCGTCCATCAGTGTTTTAATTGTAAACAAAAATCAAAGAGTGCAACTTCTCACCAACAGAAAGAAATTGAAAGCCCTAAATTCATGCCTATAATCTTTTCAGTTCTTGGTAGTGGCTGGATTTATTCAGCCATGTTCACTTTTATAAAAATAGCAAATCGCATTACCACTACACTGCAAGACCAAAGATGCCCAGCGATACCTTAATACAGATTAAATAAAAATAGTGCCACCTGAGTCAATCTGAAGATGATAATACGGTGTAATCCCATGCTATTAAAGGATGAGCATTGTAATAGCAGTGAAACAGCAGCACAGGCCTGTAGGAGGACAGAGTTCATCCTTTTCTTCCTTCTCATTCACTCAATTTTGAAAATGTTCAGTATATGGCAAAAGGCAATCCCATATATTTGGTTTTAGCCAAACTTAGAGCATTTATAACAAGAGTGAACAACCAGAAGTTTATGTTCTAAACAGCCTTCATTTTTATTTTAAACTATTCCCATGAGGAGCAATGGGAACTGCTTTCAAGTAGACAAGTTTAGGATAATGGTACTAAGATAGAAACCTTCTATATACACAAATATGTTGATTAAAAGATTCCAAAGCCTTAGTTGTCACCTTTGCTTGTAAACGTCTCCTGAAAAACACCAGTGTCCAAGAGATGTAAAATTTCCTCAGAAATGTTCAAGCCATACGAAATAGTGTCTTTGGGTGGGTGGGGGGGAGGGATTTGGAGAGAAATTAGAGAACCCAAAATACATTGTAAGCACAATAAATGCTCTGTTTAGTATATTTATAAACCTTGTAATGACAATGATCCTGAGAATCCCGCAAGTATTTCTGTGCCCACAAGGGAACTTTGGGCTACATTCTGAAACAGTAGCTCCCCCTCTCACATGGAAAACTGCTTTTTGAAACTCGGAGACTTTCCAAAGCAATTTGTGATATATTTATTGCACAATTAACTTTGGAGACCAGAAAAAGTCAATAAAATTATGGAGTACAATAAAGCAATCTGGGTAAGTACAAAAATGCCTATAAAAAGATGCAACATTTAAACACACACGAAAAAGCAAGCTGGGTAAATACAAAACTACCAATATAAAAGATGCTGCAATTAAAACATGTACAAATTGCTCTATTTATCCACTATATTACTTTATTTTGAAACCTCAGAGGGGCTGAAAAATCACAATGGAACTGGTCGTAACTGTTCGTTCCAGGAAGTTTGAATATAATAAATGCACTGGAGCGTCAGCTACACTTTATTGTATGGTATGCATGAGATCCAGAAAGACTAAGGCTGCTGGGGAAAGTGCAAGTTTTGCTCTGCATAGACCCTGAATAGCTCAGAACCTATAGGACTTAAGAAACTGCTATCTACTCTATGGCTTGCTGCCATCTCCATAATGTGCCAGGAGCCCCTTCTTAATATCCACGTTCCTAAACTTGCAGCTATGGGAAACTTTTCCACCTGGGAAAAGACCAGACATGCATTTCTAGCAAGTGGAATGGTCCAATGTTTTCTTTTGCAACTAACTTTGAGTAACTGAGGTTAAGTGGAAAGGAGACTCTCTCAAGTCTTCAAAGGTCTATATTTAGTTGCTATATCAGCCCTATTTTAAGAAGTACTGTTAGCAGTGTTCACTAATAATAAACCATGAAAATGCTCTACAGGCATAAACCCACCACTGAAACTTGTGCATAAATGATACACAGACGGGTAGAGCAGCAAACAAGAATTGCGACAGGAGAGTTGTGTAAAAAGCACAGGCTTCCAAACTTTGCTGCAGAGAGTCACCTTAAATACTCCAGTAAGGAGTGTTATTTGGGGGGGGGGGGGCGAAATGTAATTTTTACAAATTTCTTCAGGGAGGAGGGGTCTTTAAAAATATGTTTTTGGGTGTGAGAAATTCAGATCTGCTATTATTTTTTTGACTGGGCAAGATTTATTTTGGTAAGTCTATGTCTGATGAAGAAGCGCATAAACTCCTTTTAGAAAAGCGAAGAATTTTAATTTTTCCTTTTTGAAAATGCCAGGTAATTCTAAATAATAAAAAGTGCACATAAAAGAAAAGTGCCCTAATTCCTCAGGGTCCCTTTCAACTTTGCAATTCTATGATTCTATGCCACAATTCCTAATGCAGCAATGTGATGAAACAGCCATTATGCATGCACTTGAGGACCCCAAACATATATATGTATAAAAGCTAAAATTAAAGCTAGAAATCATCCTGTAGAATAGCAATCAAAGACACATCATCACGGTCTTTCCTCACCATACTTCCCTGTTACAACATAAGCCCTTGTGGGACAAACATCCCTCACTGAAGATGGGTGCTGGCCAATATTTTGGGTGTGTGAATAGATAAAACTTCCCTTGTATTCAAAAGCAGAGTTCATTTAACTGTTTGTGGTAGCATTTACGATCTCACAGCAGAAATATTCTAAACTTCTGTGAAGGATGCCCAGCATCCACTCCCCAGTCAGAGGTTCAAAATATGAAGAGGCACTTCTGGAACAGAACTGTATATTTATTTAATTACGTTTGATGGTTTCGTAAGTAAGGCTCAAAACTTTGTTAAAAACAGGTAAGTTTTTAAACAGTGCACTTTATCAAACCAAGTCTCAGGTAGACTTTTCTCACGGGTTATCTGTGTTCTAACCAGCAACACCCAGCCAGCCCCTTCTAGGATTTAACCTCTCCACTGGGAATCAAAACCTGGTTGCCCTGCCTAGCTAACCCCACTCAGGTAATCAGAACTTGGCCTGCCCACAGGCAATCCTTATCTGTAACAGAGCCAATTCACTTTCTGATCCCACAAACAACCCCTGCCTGCACTGCCTCAAGACAGGAAGTCCATATTTGATTGCACTCAGATAGTCTGCCCACCCAGACAAAGTTCCTATCCCACTGTGAAACCGTCAGCAACTAACTTAAATTCCACACCCTCTCCCCTGTTTGGCTGATGGTCTCACCAGATCTCATGAGTTGCTGGATCACCAGGAGAGACTGTCCGTCACATCCTGTTCTTTACAATGCGTAAGTAAAGGTAAAGGGACCCCTGACCATTCGGTCCAGTCATGACGGACTCTGGGGTTGCGGCGCTCATCTCGCTTTATTGGCCGAGGGAGCCGGCGTACAGCTTCAGGGTCATGTGGCCAGCATGATAAAGCTGCTTCTGACGAACCAGACCTTCTGACCGGCAAGTCCTAGGCTCTGTGGTTTAACCCACAGCGCCACCCCATCCCTACAATGTGTAAGTACTCAGTCATGGACTTCCGGGGTGGCGCCATCGGTAATGGCGGACTCCCTCTGATCTGGAGGGACCAGCTCCACGGGAAACGGGTCTTTCCCGCTACAGCGAAGTGGGGACCCTTTCAAAAATCACAGGCGGATGAAGCCTGTGACCATGGGACTCAGCGGGCACCCTTAGCGCCCCCCCAACCCACAAAGGAACCCACTAACGGGCTCCGGAGTGAAGAGGGGGAAGTGGCGCAGTGCTGAGAGTCAACTGCTTCTTCCGTGGAGCGAAGCCGCACAGCCGTTGCCGGAGAGCGCTGCCTTTTTCCTGGGACAATTTGGCTTTTAAAACAACTACCCGTGAGTACTTAAATTTCGGACAATTGGACTTCAATTAATGATTTGCGAGTAGAAAGGAAAATTGGATTAAGAAATTTCGGACAATTTGGCACTGAAACGGGAAGGTCTAAACAGGAAGTCAGCCTTCCGTTTCTTGTAGATAGATTAAAGCAAAGACATGGCAAACTAGAGTTCAGAAAATCGCCTGTAAAGGATTAACTTTCATCATTTAAAATTGTTGAACCCCCTTCAGAAGCAGGAGAAGAGGGGGGATTTTTTCCGGACTGTTTAAACCTGCAGAAGAGAGTGTAACACAAAGTAACTTTCCACCGTCTTGATCCTGGAGCGGGGTGTCAGGACTGATGTTCTTCGGGAAGCTCATTGACCAGAGACAAACGTCTTTGACAGATAGTTAAAAGAAGAGAAACATAGTGATTCCATTGTTCCCCTTCACATTTTAAAGGAACAAATATTGACAAAATATCTGAAAAAGGAAACTTTGTTGTTAGATCTGCCCTTAAAAGAAAAGAACAAATAGAATTTCTTCCCCTAGAGGGAGCCTGTGAAACTGTTACCAATTCTGAATCGGGGAGCTTGCAGCTGCAACAGATTACGATCGTGGGAATAGACTTCTGACCTTGCAGAACAATGTATTCAGAAGCTCCGCTGCGTGCTTTCTGTAAAACAAGTGCCCTACTGGGACAGCTACATGAGAAGACGGACTTGATGACTGTTGCGATCAGAAATTTTGGACAGGTAGTGGGAAACTATATAGAGCCTACCCAGGAATCAAATCAGGAGTGTGCTCTGACAGAACAGATGAGGGAAGAGGATGTTGCTGAACCTTGGGCGCCAGAGATGGAGGGAGCTGTGGCCCAGCAGGAAAATGAGTTCTTGGATTTGACAAATGAGCTTTGAAAAAGCCAGATTTGGAAAGATAAAGTTTGGTTTGGTTTGGAAATGGGGGGTTGGATAGACCCCCCTATGCAGGGATGTTTGGACTTTTCAAGTCTGGCAATGGGCCGTGAGATGTTTGGGGTGGTGGGGGCTCTTAATTCTGGAGGGACTTTGAAACATGTTTTTAAATACCACATGGAGTTTAGTGTGGACTATGGAAAAGGGGCTGATTTGTTGAGAAGGGTCAAAAACACTGTTAAGTTGGAGTTCCCACAAGTGAAAGGAGCAGGAGACAAAGTAAAGTACAGGTATAAATATGAAGGAGAACTGCGGATGGGACATGGAAGGGATTTAAGGGCCTCGGACATAAGATTACCAGGTTAATGCACTAGATTGATGGGATAGAAAGGACTGACAAAACCCGGGACCAGGAGGAAGAGACGCTGGATGAAGATTGGAAGAAAAAAAAATTTTTTTTTATTAGGATTGTATAAAATTGATGAATGTTAGAAAAATGTTGGAATGAAATTATCTGGCTTTAGCAAAAATGTTTAAAGAATTATGTAAGAATATTATGGTTAGGAGAAATTGGTATAAATAAGATTTAAGTTTTAAGTTTTAAGGTTTTCTATAGTAAGATAAGATTAAAATAGATTAAGGTAATGTAATGACAGAATATTATGAAATATGGAAAGGATTTGCTGTGACAATTAACAACTAGGATACAAAAAAAGGGAGGAGTGAGGAGGTCAAAGAAAGAAGGTAATGACAGTTAAGGATTTGAGAATATTGGATTTGTTTTTAAATGTTTGTGGCATATTTTTGTTTTTTGACTGTGTCATGTTATTTTTTGATTTTGATTTTTATCAATTTGTATTGTTCGATTGTGGTTTGTTTTTCTTTTGTTTGTTCTCTCTCTTTTTCTTTGTGTAATTCTAAAATTCTTAATAAATATCATTTTTTTAAAAAAAGTACTCAGTCATAAATATACTTGTGAATGCTAATACAATGCTAGAAAAGTAAAATAAAAAAAGTGATGGAGAATTAGTGGTAATGTCCCCAACTCCTCTCCAAGCATCTACACACACACACACAACCCTACAACTTTGCAGGGTTCACAAAGATTAAGAATGGAGTGGACTGGTTTATAAAACCTATTTATATTTCCTATTTTTTGCCTTCATGTTCCTGAAACCTCTGGTTTAATATCCAGGTCTCTTTAAAACTATCCATCGTTAGAACCACCATCTAAATTCCCTAAGTTCAAGTTCAGATACAACAGGGAACTATTATTAATGCAAAGTGGAATTTACATGGAATATGCATGGAAGAAAGTGTGGGAAGAGCATTCAAAGTTCAAGTCTCATTCTTGTATAAAAATCTAGTAAAATTACCTAAAATCCTGTAACGTCCAAGGAGGCATTAAATGACAGTGCAATGGTTTGTCATACTTTACACCCCCTTTTCCATTGCTATATAAAATTCTATAGGAAGTTTAGGCAATGTGAAGTCACAACTAGCTCAAGATACAAAGTTCCAAGGCAGCAGAGATCTTACCTGTGTAGCATTCCCCACACCCAATGCCTTACTTAAGTTGGGCTCTATAATGTTCACAGACATGGTGCCCACCTAAGCACTTTATCTCTGACATACTAAACTATCTACACCCAGAAGAAGTCACCTGGTTCAAAACAGAATCTTGTTTTGATGCAGAGGATCTCACACCATTCAGATTATTACACGCTCTATCTCACATTTAAACAACAGGCCTTGTGTTTCTTCAGCCATTTGTTACTTGTAAGACACTGATACTCATTATAATGACTTTCTCTTTCTACAACCCGGCCAGTCCAATTTCCCATGTATGGAAATTATTCAGGGTTTTTGAAAAAAACAAACAAACTCTCTTCTTTTTTCCAAGCCTTCAACTTCATTCACATACCCCAAGTTTCCAAGTTATTTCTTTTATTTCTAATACTTACTTTAGTTTTTGCTTGTCAGCCTCCTCATCTACCCTGTTAGCAGTAGTCTCAAATGCAAACTATTTCAAGAGCCAAGCGTAAACCTGCAGAGCAGCTTAAAATCCATCTTGAGACTTATTTCTCATCACAGTGACAACTGAAATGTTGTAGACTTTTTAAAAAACCCTTGTCAGTTTTTATCATTACCTTATGCTGCTTGTTCTGGTCCCCTCAAATTCCCCTCTCTCCAATCTACTCATACCATTTCACATTACTTGCTTATTGCAATGGCTGAACATTATTATGTGCTACCTGAATGAATGACACTACAAAGTACTTCCCTGAAACACATGACAAATACCCAAAGGGCACACTCTAATTGCACTTCTTGTTTGCAGCCAGCTACACAAAGAAAATCCGCAAAGAAAACTATGTAGGGAAGAAATCTCTTAGCCACAAAAGCTTCATTATGTATTATTTTAAAATGCAATAATCTAGGACACTACAAAACAATTTGTCAGGCATGACTGTGTAAACATGAATAGTATAAACAAAACAAATAGGTTTGCTAAAAACTCTGTAAGACTGTTAAATTCCTATAACCTAATAATTAACAAGCCATATTCATGTTACATTACAACAGTGCACCTGTCAGTTTCACTGACCCCCACCCCCAATTATTATTAATTGCATTTAGTGATTGCTTTCTACATAACACGCCTCAAAGCAACACAAATATATAAAATATCACACAACGTGCCAACCATTTAAAATCAAATACACATAATAAATACAACAGAACAATAACAACCTTCACAGAAAAGTGTGTCCTATTAACACACTTCACTGCTGGGGAATTAAATAAATTCTGGTATTTTTAACCCACCTCCATGGACATAGACATCAATAGGGACACGGGTGGCACTGTGGTGTAAACTAAGGTGACTGTCCCTGGGAAATGAGGACGTCTGGTAACCTTAGTCTAAACCTCTCAGCCTCTTGGGCTTGCCGATCGGAAGGTTGGCAGTTCGAATCCACGTGTGACAGGGTGTGCTCCCGTTGCTCTGTCCCAGCCTAGCATAGAATCATAGAATCATAGAATCATAGAGTTGGAAGAGACCACAAGGGCCATCGAGTCCAACCCCCTGCCAAGCAGGAAACACCATCAGAGCACTCCTGACATATGGTTGTCAAGCCTCTGCTTAAAGACCTCCAAAGAAGGAGACTCCACCACACTCCTTGGCAGCAAATTCCACTGTCAAACAGCTCTTACTGTCAGGAAGTTCTTCCTAATGTTTAGGTGGAATCTTCTTTCTTGTAGTTTGGATCCATTGCTCCGTGTCCGCTTCTCTGGAGCAGCAGAAAACAACCTTTCTCCCTCCTCTATGTGACATCCTTTTATATATTTGAACATGGCTATCATATCACCCCTTAACCTCCTCTTCTCCAGGCTAAACATGCCCAGCTCTCTTAGCCGTTCCTCATAAGGCATCGTTTCCAGGCCTTTGACCATTTTGGTTGCCCTCCTCTGGACACATTCCAGTTTGTCAATGTCCTTCTTGAACTGTGGTGCCCAGAACTGGACACAGTACTCCAGGTGAGGTCTGACCAGAGCAGAATACAGTGGCACTATTACTTCCCTTGATCTAGATGCTATACTCCTATTGATGCAGCCCAGAATTGCATTGGCTTTTTAGCTGCCGCGTCACACTGTTGGCTCATGTCAAGTTTGTGGTCAACCAAGACTCCTAGATCCTTTTCACATGTACTGCTCTCAAGCCAGGTGTCCCCATCTTGTATTTGTGCCTCTCATTTTTTTGCCCAAGTGCAATACTTTACATTTCTCCCTGTTAAAATTCATCTTGTTTGTTTTGGCCCAGTTCTCTAATCTGTCAAGGTCGTTTTGAAGTGTGATCCTGTCCTCTGGGGTGTTAGCCACCCCTCCCAATTTGGTGTCATCTGCAAATTTGATCAGGATGCCCTTGAGTCCATCATCCAAGTCGTTGATAAAGATGTTGAATAAGACCGGGCCCAAGACAGAACCTTGTGGCACCCCACTAGTCACTCTTCTCCAGGATGAAGAGGAACCATTGATGAGCACCCTTTGGGTTCGGTCAGTCAGCCAATTACAAATCCACTGAGTGGTAGCATAGTCAAGACCACATTTTACCAGCTTCTTTACAAGAATATCATGAGGCACCTTGTCAAATGCCTTGCTGAAATCAAGGTAGGCTACATCCACTGCGTTCCCTTCATCTACCAGGCTTGTAATTCTGTCAAAAACGAGATCAGGTTAGTCTGACATGACTTCTTTTCAGAAATCCATGCTGACTATTGGTGATCACAGCATTCCTTTCTAGGTGCTCACAGACTGTTTGCTTAATGATCTGCTCCAGAATCTTCCCTGGTATTGATGTCAGACTGACTGGGCGGTAATTATTTGGGTCCTCTCTTTTCCCCTTTTTGAAAATAGGGACAACATTTGCCCTCCTCCAGTCTGCCGGGACTTCGCCTGTTCTCCAGGAATTCTCAAAGATGACTGCCAGTGATTCTGAGATCACATCTGCCAGTTCTTTTAATACTCTTGGATGCAGTTCATCTGGCCCTGGAGACTTGAATACATCTAAACTAGCCAAGTATTCTTGTACTATCTCCTTAGTTATTCTGGGCTGTGTTTCCTTTGCTGAATCATTTGCTCCAAATTCTTCAGGTCGGGCATTGTTTTCTTTATCGGAGAAGACTGAGGCAAAGAAGGCATTGAGGAGTTCAGCTCTTTCTGTGTCCCCTGTTTGCATTTCACCATCTTCTCCTCTGAGTGACCCCACTGTTTCTTTGTTCTTCCTTTTGCTACGGACATACCCATAAAAGCCTTTTTGTTGCTTTTAACCTCTCTAGCAAGCCTGAGTTCATTCTGTGCTTTAGCTTTTCTGACTTTGTGTCTACACGTGCTGGCTATTTGTTTGAATTCCTCTTTGGTGGTTTCCCCCCTTTTCCATTTTTTGTACACATCCTTTTTTAATCTTAACTTTTGTACACATCCTTTTTTAATCTTAACTTTTGTACACATCTTTTTTTAATCTTAAGCAGTTTGAAAGCATACCAGTTCAAGTAGATAAAAACATACTACTGTGGTGGGAAGGTAAACCTTTTACTTTAGATATCAATATCAATGAATTAAGTATATTGTTCTTGAAATCAGGGGGATATGAAGGCACAACACACACATCTCTTGTGTACAAGCGAAATACAATTTTAACCAATTCATCAAGGGGCACATAAAATCAAGAAAACACAGTCTTCCCAACAGCAACAAATAATGCAAGTGATATAATTTGTTCCTTTAAAATGATTAGTTAACTTCAGATGGCAGTACCAATTTGCATGGGATTGAAACAGCTTGTTATTTCTCCAGAGCAGATGCCATAGAAAAACAAAACTTCTTGAAAAGGGTAGTGTTAGTATTTCACTGACTTCCAGTAAGATAAACCAGCTATTAAGGCTTGGGTACAGAGTCTACCATGGCACCATAGGAATATACAATTTTCCCATAACAAAAGAGTAATTTTTCTGTAGTTTTTGACAGTTGTGTAGAAGAGGAAATCTAAAAGGTATCAGGCATGTGAGTACTTTATGTTTCTCTCTGTGTGTGCACATGCTTAAAGAAAGACAGACAACAGTATGATTCACACAGTATTTCAGCAACACCAAATCTTGTTATTAAATATCCCATCTAATATACCTCATTTCAAGTCTGTTTGCTCTTCGAAAGCAAAAGTACAGTGTTAATGAATTTTAAACCAAAGCTTCTGATAATGATTCATGAACTGTCTCCAGGCTGCAGAGGCTCTAAGAAAATATCAAAAGCTAGTCATACTACACAGAAAGTTTAATAATTAGACTAAGACCCTTCCTGCAAAAATGTTCCCTCCAGCAGAAGTGAGGACACAAGAGGGGGCTCCTTGGATGTGGAAAGTTTTTCCCAAAGAGGCCTGCCTGGCCCCATCTTTGCCACCATCTCAGAACCAGCATCAATATCTTCTCTCAGGTATTTAATTGTTGATTTTATTGCCGCAACTTTGAGGCCATTTGCTGGCACTGTTATTTTTATGGTGATCACGCTGAGACTGTGGAGCTTAACTGCATGGCTATTTGCAATTTTATTTTGCCTCTAGCTTTCGATTTTTGCTAATAAGACATTGTGGTGTCTTCTTAGCTAACAATAATAAAATACTGCAAATCAATGGTCAATCAAACATTGATAAAAATTAAACAAGCCTTGGCTTTCAATTGTACCGTCTAAATACTGCTATAAAAACACAGAACCTCCCCCATCTTTGATAAGTTCATATAACATGCAGCTACAAGGAAAAGATGGATGGCTTCAAAGAGAAGTACCAGCAACATTCCTGCTTGGTCAGGCTCAAATTTAAGTGCGTTGAAGCAAAGCAGTGGAGGCCCTATTGATGCTTATCCACATTTAGCTTCATGAACTTGGGCAGGAAGCCCTTCAAGTTAGAAGGGGAGGATTGCTTCTTTAAGCTACTGTAAGATAACTTGAGTCAACACTACTAACGGATGCTTTAAGAAGAAGAAAAGGTTAGCACATAACCGCCCTTTTATGCACAATGTGTTACAGCCACCCAGGGAAAAGATTTCTTGTACAGGGCATTTAGCCCTCAATCTAAAATTAACATTACATACTTAGGAAAAACCATCCATTTTTAAATAGGCACGTTATTAAAATGTTTACCAATTACAAAAATCCTGTGGCAAACATTTATTTGGAAGTATGGCCCAAGGATTTATTGGAGCTGTCTTTGAAGAGTGCGTTCATAAGATTACACAGCTTTATGGAACTACTCCCATAAGAAACAGCAACAAATCCTTTAAGACAGACATGTGGATTTAGGCAAGCTTTATTCACTGCATAACTCATGACTGTTGAATTGTATAACCAGACATTCCACAGCAGCATTTTAAATAGACATGCTCTGACATCAGATACAGTTTTCTTATGCTCTAGAAGGGTAGATGACTTGTTGTTTACCATGGAACTGATCTTACCCCACAAGAGGAGGGGGGTGGGGACCTGATGCATTCTAGATGTTGCTTGGCTGCAGCAGCATCCCTGACCACTGGTCATGCTAGCAAGCGCTGATGGGAATTTGAAGGCCATGGGTTCCTCAACCTTGCATTACGTAATAAAATTCTGTGCCACTCAATCCATCATCACAGCAAGATGAAATATTCAGGAGGTTCAGGATGAAGCAACTCTGTCAGCCTCTCCCACTTCCTTCAAATTCCTCCTCAAAACCACATTTTTTGTGTGACTTTTGGATTAGCTTTCGGGACATGTTTCAATTACATGTAACAGAATTTGCTGACGTTTTCCTGCCCCTGTCCTTGTCTATCTCTTCCTCCCAACCCCTCTTGTTTTCCTATTGTTTAGAATGTAAACTCCTTGGGAATGAGGAGCCCTCCACGTAACATGAACTTGCATATACATTAACTGGCATGGTTCTAACATTGTGCAATACCACCATGGTTAGCAAACTCAGCCAATGGAATGCATTACATAGATATCATAGTCTTCAAACGTGTTCATCGGGGAAACAGGTGCTTGGACCTCTTTCTGCTCTTCTTGGGCACTTAGCTCAATGATGTAGAGCACAAGCATTGCATATATAAATGCTGGTACAATCCCTTGCATCTCAGGGAACAGTGCAGGGGAAGATCTCTCTGAATGAGACCTCAGAGAGCTGCTGTCAGAGTAGACAGCACTGAGGCTTGCTGAACCAATTGTCTGACTTGGAGTAAGCCCACTTCATATATTCATATGTCAAGCAGAGCGACATAAGGAGTAAACCTATGCTAATATTACCACTAACAAAAAAAAACCTCATTTCCTACCAGCTTTTCTCGTTGGTCTCTAAATATTTAGCAGTAACTACCAAGAACCTTTCTGTGCCTGTTTTACTATGTGAAAACTGATTCAATATATTTTATGGTAACCCTCCACTTTTGCATTTAACAATGTTTCTATACCCCTTAATCACCAAAACTTCTAAGAGGTTTACATGAAATAAATGTATAAGCCACTTACTACACTGAGTAGAATATACTGAACTTGATACTTTCCTCAAACCACTTTCTTCAGAAGCAGTTCATGTAAAATGTTGTAATGCTGTGTTACATCTCATTTAGTCACATCCTTCAGCTTTTGAAGATCACACATGAGATTTATTATTTTCCTTCTTTCTCTACTAAGGCTACAATATATTTGTTAGCTGGCAGTTGGCAGCATACTGTAGTTCCTCACGAACCATTCAGAGGTTTTATTTAAGCAATATTCAAATTCTGTTAAATAAATAGATCAACTACCAAGGAAGAAAGGGGGCCGATGGGGGAGAGTAAATAGGCAGCATACAATAGAACTGTGCCCATTAATTTGATTTTCCATTTTTTAATGTTAAAGCGTTTCCAATAAGGTTAACACAATTATATTTATGCACATTAATTACTCAGGAAGTTTATCATTTCCCAATCAACTGCACTTCCAGTTGCCCAGGAACCTAACTGCCACAGTTATTTCTTCAGCAGATAAAATGTAATAACAGCTTTGTGGGGAGGAAGAAATTGAGGGAAAGTAGGAAATTAATCGGCTACCATAAAATTTTCCAAGTAGAATCTCAATTAAATAACATTTGAAAATTAGATTGAAAGGTCTAAATGAATTTCTGTTAACATGAATAGGAAAGTCATAAAAAACCAGCCATTTCATAGCTTGGAACATCTGGAAAGCGACAGATTTAAAAATAACCAGAGAGAACATTTCAGATGAGAACTGCTGAACAGAAGAAGATTTTAGAAAATGTTTGTGGCATGTTATTCACCTGCAGTATAACAGTACAGTATGCATGCATTTATAAACATATTATATTAAAGTATTCCACAGTGCTAACTGTAATGATTTTGCAATTAATGGCGCTGTACTCTACAATCTTGATTTCATCACAGAATTCTCTTCTTTAAATTTGTACGGCTGTAAGATAGTAGCATCCTATAGAAATGCAGGTGCAGTTTGGCGTATTTCAAGTGGATCAACTATTTCTGTGAACTCTTGTTCTCTCTGAACCTTGAACCTGCAGAGATGGGTGAGAATAATCTCAGCAGCTGCATGACAACGAATGTTACGAATGTGATATTGTTGACAAAAATGAGAAGCGAAATCATTACCTGTAGCTGAAGCCTGGCTGTTACTTTGTTATGTAGCCTGCTAATGATCAGTTGCTACAGTTATAAGGAAGCTGTTGCAGGCCTTACTGGTTTACAGTCCAACCTATCAGCTTATATTCTAGACAGGAAAATTCCAAAGGTCAAGTGCTGATAGGCCACTTAATGGACACTCCCTTGGCTCATAGCTATAGGCCAGCGATCTGGAAACTACAGACATGGAGGTCACTAGTCAGAGGGTCCTGGCTGAAACTGTAGAAAAGGGCAATTTGGTGTGTGATTAGTGGGGGCATTTCATGGAATGAAGAGACTGAGGAAGCAGAAGCAGAATGCTATCCACACAATATCTGTATCACTGATGGTGTACTAAGGAGACACAGTATTACTAAAGGTTTTAGGGCGTCAAGTGACATTTTTAGGGAGGAAAGTGTATTTGTAATATATTTGAGGATTTGTAAACCAGGTCTTCCACAGTTAGGTGAATCCTCTACTGCAGTGTTTCCCAAACTTGGGTCTCTGGCTGTTCTTGGACTACAACTCCCAACATCCCTAGTTAGCAGGACCAGTGGTCAGGGATGATGGGAACTGTAGTCCAGAAACAGCTTGCGACCCAAGTTTGGGAAAACACTGCCCTACTGTCTAGGAAGGGTTTGTGTATGGTACAAATGGGCAACTCTGCCTCTACTGGTATTTTTCCACTCTAAAGCAGAAAAGGTTTCAGGGAATTGTTTGGGCACCAGTTCATTAAGGCGCCCCAAATCTTCCACTGTGAGAATTCTTTCTCTCAACTCCTTCCAACAATTAGTTGGAACATGCATTTCATGTTCACAATTGAACTTGTAAGACTGTTGTGGAAACCAAAAGCCGACAGGGGTGACAACGGGAGGTCTGAAAAGCCAAGAAATGGATAAAATTATTACACTGGGGTGGGTGTGCATGCGTGTTTGTGAAGACGTTGTCAGGATTGCTCAGTGAAGAGCAGACTTCATACTCCTGCATGCTCTGTTGCAGGTTCAGCAGCTGCTATGGGCACATCTTTTTTAAAAAAAACCCCAAAGAAAGGAGAAAGGAGCTAGAAACAGCTAGCTCTGTTAGAGGAAGTTCCCACAGCTTCTGCCTATATAAGACTTGACCTTTCTGTAGCACTCTCATTCCCCATTTGTAATATCACATTGCACCAGCCTTCTGGCCAAACCTGAGTGCATAAGAGCCAAAACCCTTTGTGCTCCACCCTTCAGGCCAGTTTATTTGGCTGAACAGCTTTATTTGGCTCTATTAAATCCAACCACATTGGGGCTGATCCAAGCTCATCATTTTTTGAGAAGCTCATCATAATAAGCCTTTAAGGTATAATCTACAGCTGTCCTTTTTTTTTGTATCCCTTTGCCCTTTGGGAAAGAAGTTTGGGTGCCTTTTGTTTTATATATAAGTTATGCTTACTATCCTCCCTTCGCCAAATGGTCCGAGGGCAGGGTTACAGAAAACAGCACAATTTAAAACAATATATAATTCATTATGCTTCCCAGGGGTCCTAACATTTGGGATGCTGCTTCAGCAGCAGCAGCAGCATTCTAGGACATAATGGAGGCTCTGGGTCAGCCCTCCTTATTGCGAGACTCTGCTGTCCTCAGTGCCATGGAAGTTTTAAGGGAATGAAAGAGTGGTGCAGCCCCTCTGAAGAAGCACTGGGTTGATGGGGCCACGTCCTTTCATCAATCAGGCCTTGCTATCAATCAGGAGAAACAGGACCATGAAATTTCAAAGAGGCTCTGAAATAATAGGTCTTCATTTTAAAATACTCAAGCCAATTCCAAAAACTGATATTTTTGACGGCAGAAGGTACTTGTCCATCACTGAAGAAAAGCAGGTTGAATGAGAAAATAAATGGAAGATGAAATGGGATGGGGCAGAGAAGAGAAATAAGCAAAACCAAATGTACTGTTACCAAGGCATGCAACAAAACAGTTTTCAATCAGAGTGCAATAGCTGGTCAGTACTAGCATTGCAAAAGCCACTTCTCATACAAAATCTACACTGCAGCACACATGCAGGCTTTCCATACATGGATTATACTTTTTACCCAAGTTGGGAATAATATAGGGAGCATGGCAAGAGGCACAGGAAGAGGTGGAAGCACAATGCTTAGGGTTGCCACGCCAAAAACTTCAGAAATGGAGTCCTCTCTTCTATGTATGTGCGGTAAATCCCAAACAAGGGAGCAAGGAGGGGAAATGGGTTGCAGGTCCTGCATCTGTCCCAGAAAGTCTCCACAGAGTTCTATGGAAAGGATGGGGAAACCTGCAGCCTCACAGGTGCTCTTGAACTCCAGCTCCATCAGCCCCAGACAACATGGCTGATGGTCAGGGATGATGGCGGGGAGTAGGCCACAAGCACTTGGGAGGGCACAGGTTAGCCATACCTCTTCTATTGCAACTGAATGTACTGATCTGGAATAAGGTGAATAAGCAGGTCATGGCTGTCCAGGACGTTTTTTTAAATCACTCTGAGGAAAAACAATTTTTTTTCTCCAAGGCCAGGGAAGGAGGAATTAATTAGTTCCTAATTTAAAGCATAAATACATTTCATTACCTTCTGGTACCACAATTTTCCTATTAATGGCAATAAAAAAAGGTTTACTCTTCTTCCTTGAGGTCTGACTTAATTCACTATTACTTGGCAATACAGTAGCATTTGTACTGTCTTCAAAGTCAGAGTACAATAAATGAATATTGACACCCCAAACAATGATTCTGGCTTTCTTCTGACTCTGCCTTTTTTCTTTTGGGAAAACATTCCCACATGCCTTTCCATCCATGTTTTCTTTTCTGGCTTCTGCACTAAAAATGCTTTCATCCCAAGCAACAACTATTAATTAGGAGCAAATCCCATTTTACATGGCGCTTGCTTCTAAGAGGCAGAGGATCGACAGCAACAGCCTGCCAATTCCAAGAACTTTTCTGAAACAGCCATTAACTGGGTCAGGAGTAGCCTTCCAACTTTTCACATGCTGAAATATTTACACGTCACTTAACTCAGCTGCTGTAAAATGTTCCAGGCCACTGGGACAGTTTCTGCTCCAGGATGCCAAGTAGCATGACCCTTAAGGTTGTGGCTGAAACTAACTTTAAAACAAGAAAGACTAAATATTTCAACAGCTTCCATTGCTATGTTTTCAGCTTAACCAGTAAGAACTTTGCACAACCCTATCCTTCGCCGCCTATCCAAAATTCAGGTTGCCCTATGAAATTGACGATTTCAAATTTAGTTTGAACAGACATGTCTGATGCCATTCTGAAATAAGGAACAGACCCAAAAATAAGGAGAAGTGCTTGAAATAATCATCATATTGGTAGTTCTAGGCAGAACACTGCATAGCACAAGGGGTGAAAATGAATCTGATACTGAACCATGGGGCCGTTTTACACACGACAATAAAATTTATATGCTGTGCAAACACATGGGCCTATCAGCCACATTCCCCCCCCCCCCAAACAATATTTGGAACATAGGAAGCTTTCCCTTAAGCCAAGTCAGACCAGTAGTCTTTGTAGCTTAGTATTGCTTACAGTGACTGGAAGCTCTCTCCGGGATTTCAGAGAAAGGTCTTTCCCAACCCTACCCAGAGAGGCCAGTGACTGAATGCAATACCTTTTGCATGCAAACCACACTGAGATTTGTCCCTTCCCCCTAGGGAAGTTGCAATGTGAGTTGCAATTGCTTGAACTGCCTAGAACAGTGATGGCCAAACTTGGCCCTCCAGCTGTTTTGGAACTACAACTCCCACCATCCCTAGCTAACAGGACCAGTGGTCAGGGATGATGGGAACTGTAGTCCCAAAACAGCTGGAGGGCCAAGTTTGGCCATCACTGGCCTAGAAGGATGCACCCCTCACGATTACATGCAAGTACATCTTGCATGTTAAAAAGGAAGGAGCTACAAATACACCTACCAGTTACCACACCCAGACCAAATTTTACCAGCTTCTCTGCAAGAATATCATGTGGAAGACAGCCAAGCAGTTAGCTCTTGGCTACAGTGCTCAGAAAATACTGTTTCAACAAGTAAATCATCTAGTGTAGACATTTATAAGATTTTACATGCCTACACATTTAGGAGGTAGTAGCAAAGAGAGCCCATATCATTATAATGAGTGTTTTGTTCAACATCGTGGGTATGTGGGGGAGGCCATTATGTTGAAGTCACAGCATACCAAGTCCAGAGTTCTCAATCCACTCGTTTTCAGCAGTTCAACATGGACTGTTTTGCAAGGCAGTTGATTTTTGTGCTCTTTCCATTCACACTCTTTAACAGCTTTATCACCATCAGAGAAGGGGGTGCCAGAAAGGGGTGCTATTGCTTAATTATCTTCATTACATACAAACCCAGATACGGTGTACACTACAAATAATTTGTGGCTGTTAGGAAAACATATGCTCGTGTTCCATTGTCTCCTTTTTTTGAAAATACACGCACAAGCTCCAACTGCAGAAAATTAGAACAGGAGAGGTGAAAATGGTGAATGTCACATTTTGTTTCCTATTTATCTATCAGGGCTATAATCCTATTCACGTTTATCTGTAAGTAAGCTCCACTATAACCAGGAAGACTTGCTTATGAGTAAATATCATGGGATTGCAGGGCAAGCAGTGTTCTAGGAGGTTGCTCCTATCAATTTCCCATCCGTCTTTCACTTCTCTTTCTATTCTGTGCTGTCTGTGTCACGGCAAGGTTTTGTAACGCTATGGGATCCTCAGTGGGGAAAGTGGGTGTGCATTCATAGATTTAACGTATTACAATTTTTTTTATATTAATTCACTGGTCTTCAACTGGTAGGTCAGGATACACTGCTAAGCCATGGCCTGATCTAAGGTGGGTTGCAAGAGGAGCGCTGCAACAATGCAAATATACTGTATGGGAAAAGATTCAGAAAGCCCCCCCCCCCCCACGCATGTCTAGGTTAAAACCAAACAGTTTTGGGTTAAAACTGGGTGGTCCTGGGTATAAAAAGGTTGAAGACTGCTCTACTATACACTCTCACATTCCAAATCATTCTGTAACCTACGGTGAATTTAGCACACATCTTAAGAGCCCTAGGAGGCATGGAAAGCTGTAATGACAAAGGCTTCGGGTAGACTATACTGATCAGCTGGAATTATGTGGATGGGATAGGCTGCCACGATGTAGCTACAGAAGAAGGCCAGAGAAGATGCCATGAACAAGAGGGTAAAATGGTGGGTATCCCTCACACATACACAAGACAGTGAACTGAACCTCCAAAGGAGACCAAGTGGAAACAGCTGCTTTTTACCATGCAGAGATATAAAATGCAAGGCCAACAACAACATGCAGAAGCAAATTCTAATAATACACAGAAAGTAACAGAAAGGTTACTTAAAAGAACAAAATAACAACAACAACATAGCCAGCTGAGTAAAGTTAAGACTGATTGCAGATATTATAGCAGCTGGAAACCAACCGGGGTTCTCTCACACATGCGAACAGTAAGCAAAGGATTTATATTTACACACTTACGTAAAACTGAAATAAAGGGAGTAAAGCAGAATGAATGATCATACCCAAATGAACTTTAAAATCATGGAAAGCCAGGCTGACTTTGCTTTCCCCCCACCCACACACCTGATTTGTGGCTCAAGAAGATGCTCTCCTCCCTGCCTCTGCCCATATTTCCAACCAAAAACTCCAAATGAAGTTTATACAATATACATGCCAAAAATGAATGACCTCAGCAAAATGCATTTCCTTATCCTGGCCATTCCCTAGATCTCTGACTAAAAGAAAAAGAAAAATAGTATCTGTTATTTTGACAGAAATCTAGCTGCCAAGATTGCTCGTAGCAAAGGGGTTTTTTTGGTTTGTTTCTTAAAAGAGATCAAACATTACAGCTCATTTGCAGAGGGTTCAGCAGGACCTGACATGCAGATCTGATGCAACTCACACATGCCACCTCCCCGTTTATATAGCAGCCCAGAAAAACTGTCAGGGCAGTATGGGTGGCACACCCCAAACAGAAGGTGGTTGTGCAACGCCTCGTCCCGTGTACTCCTTCCTGTTCACAGGCATTGCTTCCCATTGCTCAAGTTTAACACTGAAGCAGTATATTGAAACTGCAAGAGCCTCCTCTGGTCGTATGTCCCATTATATTCAATACAAATGCAGGAGCACCACCGCCAAGATGAAAACTGAAGCCTCTTGTAATGTGTGCTAAATTTAATCAGGGACAGCCCAATAAATTTTGCCTGCTGAGGCAAAGGGTGAAATGGTGCAGCCCACCACCCAGTTCCATGTGCAGAATCTGACCAGCCTGGCAGATAAATCTTATTTCAATGCTGGTAATGGTGTCATGAACTGGAACTGGGAGGGCATGCAGCGCCAAACCATGGGATGAACCTGTGCAGTGAGTGTCCCACTGGTATGGAGGTGTGGCACTGCCATCCTCTGGACTCAGAGGACTCCAATGGAGGACCTTAAGGTGACCCAGGAAGACCTGTAGTAGGAGAAGGCTGTGTCTCTCATATACAGAGCAGCATAAATGCTGCCAACAAATAGGTGACTGCTGCTACTGTTACTTCTACCGCTCAGTATCAGGGTTCAGTTTCAGTTTGTTCCTCGCTTCCCCAGAGCACAGCCTGAACCCTACCTTGCCTCCAGCAAGGAACCTTATCCCAACCCCCGAGTCAGGCCCTGCCTTGATGCAGAGAGCACAGCTAATGGGAAAGAGACATCTACTACATCTCATGGCATCAGGTGCAGGCCAGGCTATGCGTGGAACATGCACGTCTCTCTCCTCTATTCTCAGCTGCCTCACTCTACCCAATAGTAGGGCTGGCCCTGTGTATCATACAGGTAATCTCCCCTCCCAGCAAGATTTCCCTTTCTCTTCGTTCCCATGCTGTTGCCTACACATTGGACTCAGTGCAAGAGCCCTCCTGGTGTGTTATTTGAGTGAACGGGCAACACATAAGGGGCAATAAGTCTGGACATTTAGTTCTGCCCCTGAGGTTGCACAGCTCCTCAATATCCCCTCCAGGGCTGAAGGATAGCTTCTGAAGAAGCAGCTTTTTCTATCAGTGAAATATTTAGAATCCTCAAACAGGGCCCTAAACCACACAGCGAGCCTACAGGAATAGAAAATGCTCCTCAGTTCAGAAATTACTCAACATGTAATGGGTAAGAGGGAGATGAGCAACCACATGGCCTCACAGCTCTGAGTAATGTGTGAAGAGAATCTGATTCAGGTCTGCTCATAATACGGCTCCCCACCCCCCGTTTAAAGGATGTGCTTGCAACAGTGTATGCACTGATATACAGAACTACTAGAAAATATGACTGACAGTCTTAAAATCTAGGTGTTTGGATTGCTACTAAAGTCTGAGGCATTTTGTGTTCCATGCGGTTTGGTTCGTTCACTGCTGGTGTGGCGTGGACTATTACTTAGGAGTCTGCTGTGCATTTTGACCATTAGATACAGAAGTCTCCCATTTTTTCAACTTTTCTACTGAATCTCAGATTATTCTTTGCACACAACATTTCAACTTACTGTTAAAATTCCTATCAGTCACTCTCAGAAGTCTTCACACACACATTGAATATCTAAACATATTGGTATTATACTGCATTAAGCAAACCTACTGCCATCTTGAAGACAAATCCAATTCATGTTCTGGCCTGCTTGCTGTATATTTACATGGAAGACTGAAGTTCAAGGCTAACCAGGCCCCAGATGTTCTCCAGATAGGATACGCCATTAAAAGTGCCTCTACCCAAACTTTCTTGGCTTATTGGTTCTAATTTTTTTCAACTCACAAAGTACACTACAGTGTGTTGCTCTGGCAACTAAGGATGTTGCACTTGGTACACAACGCATTTGGCTTTAATTTGAATTCTTTATCAGCAAACAATTGCAGCATGCACTTCTACTACTTTAAAATATTTATATTGATTATGAAACCACTTTAAGGCCACAGTGGAAGATTTCCTCCCTCTTATGAAATACAGTGGTATGCCTTCCTGCCCATTAGAGTGGCGGCACCTTTTTCTACCTAATCTCCTATCTAATTTGTCTAAATAACATGTAACTTGTTGTGATTAGGAAGACTGTCAAACAATTTCTTGTGGATGGATAGACTCCAATTAGGATGCAAGACCACAACAATTAAAGAAGCCCCTATAATCTCATTTCATCTTAAGCACAGAGGTATGCACAGCTCCTGCTTTGGTCAATATTGTTGCTTTTTTTTACACCCATCAGATGAATGTACTTCCAAACCTCTTAAGTTTGAAAAGCAAAGGCAAATCACTGATCTTTTTATCGTGAGCCAAGGAAGAGTGTTGCAAACTTGTGTATTTGTCTGCCTTATTTTCCAGCCTTTGATGTCTAAAATAGGACAGTGTGAAACTGCAGGAATGTGTGTGTGTGTGTGTGTTTCAAACTTTCAACTATGCTTTAATTTGTGTCCTGGTTTTCTGAAATAAATATTTCCCCCCAGTATTTATTTATTTTTAAATTTGGCCCAGAGTTATTCAGAACTCAGATTCCTGCAAAGTCTTCTGTTGCTTGTATACATTTGCCTTTTGAGCTACCGTATTTTTCGCTCTATAAGACGCACCAGACCATAAGACACACCTAGTTTTTGGAAGAGGAAAACAAGAAAAAAAAACATTCTGAATCCCATAAGCCAGGACAGCAAGCGGGATCGCTGCTCAGCGATCCCGCTTGCTGTCCTGGCTTATGGGATAGCCGCGCGCAGCCTCTCCCAGGCAGGGGATGAAGGCTCCCCTTGCCCGGGAGAGGCTGCGTGCAGCTAAGGCTCCCCCAAGAGCTGCACTCCCTTTAAAGAGCGTGCGGAGTGTGTGTGCGGCTCTTGGGGGCTTTTCCCCAAGGAGGGAGAAGGGCAGCCCTTTTCCATCCTCGGGGGAAAGCCCTGAAGAGCCCCACACATGCTCCATGTGGCTCTTTAAAGGGAGCACTGAGCAGAGCCTCCTGCCTGCATTTGCTCCATAAGACACACACACACATTTCCCCTTACTTTTTAGGAGGGGGAAAGTGTGTCTTATAGAGTGAAAAATACGGTACTTATGTATTATTTCCAATATGACAGAGAAAAAGGGTCGCAGCTCAAGTGGTTTGGAAAGCCACGTAGAGTAACTGAGGAACATGTGCACAGAACCCTAGCGTTATTTCTTAAAGCTACTTTAATTAAAATAAAGTATATTATAACTGGAGTGAAGCAGTTAGAACTGAGTGGTCAAGTAAATTTGGTTACTCATACTCTTGTGTGTTTAAAAGTCACATGATAGTGGTTCTATGACTGGAGAGTCTGTTGGTCAACCAGAATGGTCCCCAACACCATCATAGTCATTTGAAGTTACAACGTGGGGGAGAATGTGTTTTCCTCAGTACAATTCATTTGTAAGGAAGTTTCAAATGTCCCAATTCCCATTAGCCCCCAGCCAGGATGGTCAATGGTCAATGATGAATGGAGTTTTAATCCAGCAAAATCTGAATAACCACAGGTTTCCTACCCTGCCTCTATTGACTGGGAAGGTGCCCGTTTTTATCTAGACAACAAAGTATTCTGTTTGTTAGACATCAGAGATCACAGAATTGTAGAGTTGGAAGGGACCACAAGGGCCATCTAGCAGCCCAACCCCCTGTGATGCAGGAATCTTTTGCCCAACGTGGGGCTTGGACACAAGACCCTGAGATTAAGAGACTTCTGCTCTACCGACTGAGCTATCCCACGTTTTGGTAGGCAGTTTGGCTTTCTGTAAGACTGATAGGCCTCATTATTCCAATTATGAGTAATACGTAATATTTTAGCTGGAACTACCTGCCCTAGATAGTGCACTCTGGGGGAATTAATGCACTTCCCCTATGAAAAAGCTACTTAGTTTTCAGACATGAATGCCGCAGCACTAATGAATTCAGAGATCACAAAGAAGCACGTTCAGCCAAAATTAGTAGGCACCTGAAGGTTCCATGTCCCATGTGTAGCAATCAATCAATAGTTCTCCCTCCGGTTACTTTTTATAGTTTGCTTTTTTCTTTACTCTTGGAAGGAGGGGAGGAAAGCATTCCACCCCCATTAATATTCTTTCACAATTTTTTCTTTCGCTTTTTCTCTGTGGTATGGAAGATGACAACTAGAGGAAGACTTTGGACTACATCAATCAAAGCAAGCAAGCACATGTAAAATCAATATGCCAACAGAGATTTGCAATTAGCAATAAGCTGCTAGAGTGAAGATCATTTGTTGTCTTGCACATTTGTTCGATTGCAAACAGGCATAATACCGAAAAATCCAGAATTAACTTAAAACATGCAATGCTCATTGAAGTTTAATTGATGGGTTTCTGCATGCAAAAGCCTTTTTGCATTGGTAAAGAATTTATAGCTCAGCCACCAGGGGTAGCCAACATTACCTTACTAATACGGTCAACCTGAGCAAGAGATAAATGACATCTTGCCAGCAGAAATTAACTCTACTGAGGGTTAAGCTCCCTCGCTTCTCATTGCCTCATATGCCCTAAAGGTATATATATATTTGACTCAAGATGAAGTATTATTAAATATCAGAAACTTAAAAGCTTGCCGAATAACAACAAAATAATTGATCTTTCAATCCAGTAACGAAAAACAATTCCAATTACTACAAATTAACACCCATAATACATCACAATTTCCCAGAACATTCAAAGTCTTCTTTCTTAAGGAATTAATATTTTCCGCAAGCTAGTTTTCAGATGGAATTCTATAATCAGTTATATAGCAGAAACCCAAACTGGTTTCAGTGGGAGTAAGTGAACAGAGCAGAATGCAAGGCTTTCATTTATAGCCTTTGCAAAATTAAGCAAGATCATAGGGATATAAAAAACACATTAAGCAGACCCTAACTCTACTTACCTGGGAGTAAATTGAATTCAATGCAACTTGCTCCCGAGCACACATGCTTACAAATGCACTTTGAGGCTACAAAGCCAATACACATTCACCTGGGAGTAAGCCTCATTGAACTTATTTGGTCTTATTCCTAAGTGGACATGCATAGGACTGCACGATCGCAAAGAGTTTTTCTGAGTATTCCAAAATTAGAAAATTACAACAGGATTTAATTGGGGGGGGGGGGAAAGATGGGCAATATAACCACAGATTCTCTCCCAAAATAGGTACTTTCCAGATTTGTTGGGCTATAATCAGCAAGTGTTTCTCTTGCTGGAAAGAACTGACGCTAAACTATTTTCTCCTTTAACTGACTTTGCTTTGGGATAAATCATCTTATTTCAGCAAGTAAATTACAAATCCATAAGCAATGCTCTGAGATCTTCTGTCACATTAAACTCAAATGGTTACTTTCTTGCAGTTAAAAACAATTTTCAAAGTACTGGAAATGCTCATCAGCATCACATTAATAGGAGTCAAATACTTCTAACTAGCATTTCTGCTTCCGCCAGAAAAGAAATGTGACGCAAACTAATTTCTTTCTTATAGCTCAGGTCTACTTCTCTGGAACATTCCCTTTCCACTGAATCATGTACCCCTTGAGAGAAGAGGACTCCGTCATTCTTAAATTTGCTTGTATGAGATGCACAGAAGCACCACAACCACTAAGTGCAAAAGGCAACTGACGTACTGAATTATCAACACACTAAAATTGAGAATCTCAGGGTCCTCTTCATGCCTCTCCTGTAAAAGAATTGTTTAGTGCCACTATACAAAACTCACACGTGACAGGGACCCTTCCTCCGGAAGACTTCACAATCTACATCAAGACTGGAACTAGACCAAGATCTGAGAATTTATGAGGAACAGGCTCCATGAGGAGGGACATCCAGACAACTGAGGGGCAGGTGGGACAAGCCTAGGTTGGATTTTCCCTGATAAAAGGAGGATGTTGACTACTCAGTCAGTTAAACCTTTTTTGGATTGACTTGTACCCAGACAGTCTGGAGCTTGCAAAAGCACATATATATGTGTGTGCAACAGGCATGGGTCAGTCATACAAGCCAGAAAGCAGTTCTCAAAGACCAGTAGGCAGGGCACTTCAAAGTCATAGCAGATTAACTGTTGTCACGGCTTTTCTTTTTTAGTGGCAGCAGGAAGCACTGATGGGACATTGGCAAGAACCCATGCAAGGCAAGCTTTATCACAATAATGGTTTACAGAACATTCCCTGTGCTCCCAACACTATAGCTTAATTTCAAACACTGGAAGGTTCGAGCTCAAGATGGCGCCTTAACTTGCAGAATGTGTTGCTAATGTAAGGACTGGACTAGTGAGCTGCCCCAGTCCCTTTCATTGCAAGAAGCATTTGCACTGCCTGACATGCCCATTGGAAGCTTTTCTGTTGCTGCTGCCAATATTTCATGAACACATATTATGGATAACAATGCTATAAATACAGACTTGCCAGCAGGCTCCACTGATCTGAGCAGGACTTAATACTGAGTAAAATTACTCAATTACTGATGGATTGTTTTCTCTTTTTTTAATGATGTGAAGCACCCTGGCACTTTTTTTGTGTGTGTAAGTAAAAAGCTGCATAGAAATCATTTAAAACAAACAAACAAGTCTTGATGGCTGTGATCCTAAGTACAGAGATATTCAAATAGTTTCCACTGAAATTAGTGCTACTTATAAGAATTAGATGAGTTTAAGCTAGAGATATATCCTCAAGAGAGATGCAAAGTCATCTAGCTGTTATGCGAACTCACAAGGAGAGGAGAGTGTTATTTCAGATGCTGACAGGCTACATTTTGCTGCTTATTCTGTCGTTAAATCTGTTTGTATGGAAAGCTGTTTGAAAAGGACAAGTGGATTATTTTACACGTCATTCCCTAAGAAACTCCAAATGTCAAAGATCTTTTCAGAAGCTCAAGTATGTTGTCTCCATAAACTATCTAGCCAATTCAACCAGAAACAGTTTACAAGGGTTCATTGAAATTTCCTTCGCAAACCCTAGATTTATAACTGTCTCTCTTATCAATATACACATCTGGAAGAAGTCAGATCTGTGTTTTAAGAGGAAGGGGGGAACAAGAGGTTTTGACAAGACAGTTTGGAGAACAGCAGCTAGGAGTCTTTGTTTTGAAGTTAGTAGCAGCTTAATATTTATGCATTTGTACATTGACCAGTCAAATATTAACTACCCTTAACACATGCCTTGTGGGTACTGAATAACTTTAATGCTAGTATTCTTTTGCGGCATGGGACAGCTTGCATGCTCACAGTCACAAAAGACCACACATTTCTATTTCCTACAGCCCAAAGCAAAGGACTGTCACCTTTCAGAAAGCAGGGGGTGGGGGTGGGGTAGAGAAAGTGCCTCCAAGTACTGGCGTCTACAAGGGGTGGGGAACCCATATGCGTCTCCATCTCGCTCCAGCCAGCACGGGCAACGGTCAGGAGTGATGGGAGTTGTAGTCCCAAAATCATCGGGAGGGCCACAGGTTTCCCCCCCACCCCGGGTGCAGGATGAAGTTGGAAGAGCCTTTCTTCTCCCTAGTGAACCAAGTCTCTCTCTCTCAGGAAAGAGAGAAATGTAGGAGTTTGCCTCAACAACCACGAATCACGAAGCGGCAGCCAAAAACAAAAACACCACAGCGTTGTTGCAAAATGAATTGAAACCAAGCACACACCGGGGTGGGGGTGGGATAAAAGCTGCTGCCAGGAATCCTGGAAGGCAGCCTAAGAAGGGTGTAAAGCTCTTTTCTTCCCGAACTGGCCACATTAATTCAAGTTGGCCCAGAGGCTTGTGAGAACACACCTCGCTCCACAGCGGTCAACCCCGCCTCGTCTTACGTGTCTGGGCATCTCTTTTTTGCGCGAGGATACCTGCCAAAATGCAATGCCTCCGGTTCGAGTCCCGTGACATGGCTGCAAAAGCAAGGAAAGTTCCCCACTCGGTTCAAAGAGTCGCCTTGGCGAGGGAGAGGCCGGTCCAGAAAACAACCGAGCCGAGAGAGGACGAAGACCCCGCCAGCCCGCTCCAAAGCCCCCTTACCGGACTCGCGGCTGCTGCGCGCTCTTCTTCCTCGCTCTTCGCAGGGCGCGGTGGGGCCCCGAGACCGACCGGGAAGATGGGAGCTGCTTGCGACGGGCGAGTCCGCCTTTCGCTCGCTGGCTGGCTTCTGCTCCCTCGCAGCTGCAGCCGCGCCTCGGCGTCGGCGAGGAAGGGAGCCGGGCGAGGGAGAGCGGGAAGGGCGAGGAGGCAGCGGCGGCAGCAGCAGATGCAGCCTGAAAGGAAACGAGCGGCCCAAGTGAAGGGAGGGGAGGAGGAAGCGGAGGAAGATAGAGAGAAAGAAAAGTGCGTCTGAGAGACAGAAGTTGCCAGGCGCGTAAAAAGGGCCGGGCGCCCAGCAGCGCTCACTTCCCCATAGCGCGCACAGCCGAGTACTACCGCGCGCCGAGCCCTCGGGAACCGCTCGCAGCCTCCGCGCTGGTTTACGCCCGACGGGGAAAAGAAGCCGCGCTCATATTGGATTAGGGGGCGGACCACGCGCGGCCCGGGAGGGGTAGCGGCTTAGCAAGGCGGCTCTCGGCTCCCGCGCGCCCGCTCCGCGTCGCCTTTTCCTCACCTGCCCTCCGTGTCTCCTCCGCCGCGGGAGGGCTCGCCTGCAGGGACGGGGCAGCGCGGCTCTGCCAAGCGGCCGGGCTGGGGCTGGGAGCGAGTTGGCGCCTCCCGCTGCTGCGCCGCGCTTGGTATCGCCCTCCACGCCCCGCAGATACCACGCTGCCCAGCCCGACGGCGGGGAGGAAGTTGCGAGGAAGTCCCGAGAAAAACAAAAGTGACTCGCTGCCGCCGCTCGAGTGGAAGGGCGGAGGGGAGCTGGTGCGCGTGGGAAAACAAATGTGCAAGGAAGCGGCCGGGCAGGGGCGGAGGGGGCGGCGGCGTGAGCTCGGCTCGCGCCCAGGAAGAAGCCCGGCTGCTTTCGACTCCGTGCAGAGGCAGCTGCGTTGCCTCGGAGTCCCAGCGCAAACGGCTGTAGCTTCCTCGCTCGTTAAGGTTGCCAGCTGGATAGCTCAGTTGGTTAGAACACAGCACAGTGCTGATAGCGCCGAGGTTGCAGGTTTGATCTCGTATTATGGGATAGCCGCTTACTCCTGCATTGCAGGGGTTGGACTGGATGATCCTTAGGGTCCCTTCCACTGTTCTATGATTCTATGTCAGTCCATGCCCTGTTACCCCTGAATCCTTATTAATTATGCTTCTTTATTGAGCAGTGCCCGTTCTGTGGAAGGACGACGGTTTCAAGTTAACATTCTGCAAGGCAATTAAAACAGAAACGCTTCTGCAGTGCAGCGATAGCGGTTAGCCTTTCTATTGCAGCTCACGTGCAACATCACACCCTCAGTTGTTGATAAGGATGGGAAATCTGTTGTCGTCATTCCTTCCCCCTCTCTCCATGTTTTTAACTCTCCACTCGCATCACATCCAGCTACCATGGCCAGAGGTCAAGAATGATGGGAGCTGTAGTAGTCCAACAACATCTTCAGGACACCAAGTTGAGGAAGGTACCACAGGCAATGACACATATCGTGGATGAGGATTGTTCCCCATCCCTGGTTTACATGTTTACTTCCCACTCCACTGTGTTTCACCTTCCTTTTTTGAAAAAAAGAAGCAGCCAAACAACAAAAGGGAAATGATAAGTTATGCAAGGGCAGTGTGTCCTGTTTTGCTACCCGAAGAAAACCAGGAAAGTGCCATGCCTTGCTCTACCCCTGCCCAAGCCTCCATTACCTGGGTTGCACAGTGGCGGCAGCGGGTTGTGGTGAGATCCTGTGCAGTGCGTAAGATCTCATGAAATTTCTGGGAGATCTTGCAAGATTTCACACTGAAAGCCGCTGGTGCCACTGTCGCTTCTCTGCCAGCAACAGGGCAGATTGCGTGCCACCTCTTGCGGTTTCGCCGCCTGAAGCAGCTGCCTCCGTCCACTTCATGGCCGAGTTGGCCCTGAAATCATTAAGTGGAAACACATCAGGATGAAGACTAGCATGGCGGGTAGTCTTAGAACGCTGAGGTTTATAGGGTGCTTATTGTGGGGTGTGGGTTCTTCCTGCATACACATTTTATTCTATATATTTTTGCAGAGTCATAGAATCGTAGAATTGGAAGGGACCCTGAGCGTCATCCAGTCCAAAACTCTGCGATACAGGGATCCTGTCCACAGCCATCTCTTCGTGGACTCCAACCACCAACCTTCTGGTTAACTGTCAGATGCACTGACCTATTTTGCCACTGTTAGCAGTATTTCTGCCCACCCAGTTTAATCCCTAGACTTACAACTTTCCTGGGGATAATCTCATAAATTAAAAAAAACCCCAAACCTGTTTCCAACCACTTGCCTGTGGTATCCAGACTTCCCTTAAAATATTAAGCTCTTGTCCAAAAGCTCTCTAAGTTTAGCTGAGGGTCAGAACTCAGATCTCCCTAGTTCTTAAGCAATACCCTATGGGGCTTCCAGAAGGGGGCTTAATATTGTAAAGGGTTGGTCAGATATTGAAAATGGGTAGTTGGCAACAGGTCTTTTTCTCAACTTAGGGTGCTTCCAGACTGTCACTCTTTTTGAATGGGATTTGATAATATACTGGCAGAGTCAGGTTTTGCAGTTGTAGTAGTTTATTGGGAGGTCTCGCGCAACGAACTGGCTTTCTCAACAGATCAGACTTGTTATAACTGCACTAGAAAGTGTGAGGTAATACCTGCTTTTACACATTATCCTGCAAACAAATCAGAAGGAATTAAATAGCCACAGCATTTAAACTCCCTGCAAACAAATCAGAATGAATAAACAGGTTACCTGGAAGCACCCCTAACTGTATTTTTCCTGGAAAGGGTAAATCTGAATTAAATTATGGGCTGGCAATTTGATGCTAAGAACACTGAATCAAAGAATAGACACCTTACCGTCTGACTGCATAAATCAGAGATCTGCACTAGCTGACAGTTTGTTACAGGACCAAATTTAAGGTGTTACTATTAGTATATAAAAGCCCTCAACAGCTTGGAACTAGTTTACTTGAAAGATCACCTTACTGTATAGATAAATATATAGATATATAGATATAGATGATACTGCTTGACTAGTTCAGTCACTGGAGCCAGCACATCTTTAGGCACCAGGCAAAAATGTTTCTCTTATCACCCTGAGGAACCTGACATTGAAGGTGCCGTGAGGCTGCAGAGCACCCCCCTAAGCATCACCCTTTGGAAATGTCCATCCAGTAGGACTGGAACCTCCACAAAGCGGTGCCAACCACCCCTAACTTTAGGGGTGGACACCAGAAGGACACCTCAGGCAATAGTATCAAAAGCTGCTGAGAGGTCAAGGAGAATTAACAGTGACACATTTCCTCTGTCTCCCGCTCACATACTAGCGGACACAGGTGGTGCTGTGGGTTAAACCACTGAGCATCTTGGGCTTGCCAATTGGAAGGTTTGTGGTTCGAATCCTGGCAACAGAGTGAGCTCCCATTTCTCTGTCTCAGCTTCTGCCAACCTAGCAGTTCGAAAGCATGTCAGTTCAAGTTGATAAATAAGTACCGCTGCAGCAGGAAGGTAAACAGTGTTTCTGTGCGCTCTGGTTTCCATCATGGTGTCCTTTGCACCAGAAGCGGTTTAGTCATGCTGGCCACACGACCTGGAAAGCTGTCTGTGGACAAACGCCGGCTCCCTTGGCCTGAAAGCGAGATAAGTGCCGCAACCCCATAGTCGCCTTTGAATGGACTCAAAAGTCCAGGGTCATTTACCTTTTAGCTTTACCTACTAGCAAATTCACATTGCTTAATTAAAGTGGATTTTGTGCGCCTGTATAACAGACCCACTCCCCTCCCATCAAAATCAGACTTTTTGCAGTAAGGAAAGTGACGGGAAAGTGTGGGATTACAATTGCTTGATATGTCATATAGCTCCCCTACAAACAAATCAGAATAAATGTTCACTAAACAGGTAATATTGTCTAACCTTCCCACAAACTTGTGCAGATGATGAATGCTCAATAAACAGGTTGTCTACAAGCTAACTCAGCCTCATAGACGCAGGCTTGTTGTGAAGGCCTGCATACTTCCTTGCCGCACAGCCCTCAGTTGTGCTTTGGAATTGCAATAATCTTGTAAGGCAGGTCAGTAGCAGTCCTCTCTCTACTTATCTAGGAAGCAGCACTCAGAAAGAAATATGGTATGATTTGTGACCCTTTGCCCTGCACACATTGCTGGCTCTTCTCTCTGGCAGCACAGCCTACAATTTATTATAGCTGTTGTATGGACAGAAAGATAACTTCAGGAGACTTTGCACAGGTCTGCGGGGCTTTGGGTGCACCTTGAAATATAAGGCATGAAATCATCTAATGAAACTTCTGTCAGAAACAAATTTTATATAAAACCTGACATTTGTTAAGACCACTTCTGAGAAGGGGATGTTTGCTTTCCGTTCTTTATATGCACCCCAATAATCCCAGTCTCAGAAAATTTTCTTGTGCAAAAACTTTTTGTACAAATCCTATACTAGTGGCACTCAGAGTAGACCCAACAAAGTTAATAGGCACGACTAAGGATAATGCAATTCTTAAAAATTAGCTGAATGCAACCCTTAATTGAAAAGTGTCTTCTTGCAATTTAATGCCCTCTTGCAAAATAATTTAGCATGTGGAGCATACATGCGACTATCAAAGAATCACTGGAGAGAATAACTTTCAAACTACACAAGCCAAACATCTGCACTATTCCTCATTTTCTAAAATTAGAGCAATCTAAACTGTTGTATATAATCAAGAGCACTCAGTACTAATATTGTGATTATTTGGCAGAAGTAGCTATAGCTAAGAGCTGATCCTAGGAATTATGCCAAGACCAATCTTGAAAAGGAGAACCGTTTGGCTGTATACCATCTAGAGCCAGGGCAGAGGAAGGGGGAAAATGGAGGTTATGGAGCCTGGTTTGATTTTAATGAATTTCTAGGTTCTTTATTGTGTAACCATCAGAATTATTTTTTGAAAGTGTAGAAAACAGAGATACCAGAAATGAAGCCTAATGCGATGGAGTAAGCTCCACTGACCCTATTAGGGCTTATTTTAAAATAAGTATACACCAAATCGGAAGAAAGTCATGTATTTAAAAGGGAAGATCATTATATAACCTTATTGTAGTAGCTACAGAGAAAAGAAACTGGCCACCTTCTCTAAGTTTTGTTCCAATACCTTCTTGTTATATTTCTTCTAGAGTTGTGAGTTGAAGCTGTTGGCAAGCCAAGATAAGATCTGACAGATTAGCCAGCAGGGACCTCTCCATGAATGGCTGTTTGCCCATGTGCTTCCCAACAATGGTAATATTAATAGAATTTTGTTGTATGAACAAATGAGGTTGGATTTAGTCACTAGAAGAGCATCTTTTTCGGTTAAAGGCTCTTGGATCTATTGCTAGTTCTTGTTGTTATTAGTAATGTAAAATGCATGTCTTTTGGCTTTTCATTCTTGTTTGTTTGATCCTGCATGTCCTTTTCTGAATTCTTACAGAACAGGGAAAGGCGCGCGCACACACACACACACACACACACACACATTGGCTAGTTGATGTGTGCATGTCTTTTGGCTTTTCATTCTTGTTTGTTTGATCCTGCATGTCCTTTTCTGAATTCTTACAGAACAGGGAAAGGCGCGCGCGCACACACACACACACACACACACACATTGGCTAGTTGATGTGTGCAAGGAAAAGGGATTTCTTCTTGAATCCATAGATGGTGATCCATCACACCCACATGCTGCATGCATTGATCATGTGTCAACCACTGTTTCCATGGTAAACACTGTAAAGTATGAAGTGGAAGTGTATGTTTTCATGGGGCAACACATGGCATGAACCACAGATATAGAAGAGTTACACATAATCCAGTTTCTGTTTGAGCATTGCCATACAGAGTGCAGGAAATAATATGCTTTGGGGAGTCCCTCTAATTCCAAATCTCTATAGCGCCCTGCCCCTTTTACAGTGGTACCTCGGTTTAAGTACTTAATTCGTTCCGGAGGTCCATTGTTAACCTGAAACTGTTCTTAACCTGAAGCACCACTTTAGCTAATGGGGCCTCCCGCTGCCGCTGTGCCGCTGCTGCACGATTTTTGTTCTCATCCTGAAGCAAAGTTCTTAACCCGAGGAACTATTTCTGGGTTAGCGGAGTCTGTAACCTGAAGCGTATGTAACCTGAGGTACCACTGTATTTGACTGACCAGCTAATTCAGTTGCGAACTGAAGGAGTCACTATGGTTTAACTGAGCCAGCCACCTCTTCGTCTGCACTGGTCCATTGACTCCAAGCATGTGAACCGACTGGTCCTCCTGTATTCACCAAAATAATTACAGTGCAGGAGTCATCCTAGGTAGGCTTCATTTAAATGAGAGAGCCAAGCTGCTTTTTAAGAAATGTGCAGTATACGTAAAAACATACATGTGTTTTCAAGCACGTGTATTGTACATTATTTGGCAACTGGTGTAGATTGTGGTTTCCTGCCAAATGTACAGTTAGCAGAAAACTTGGGTTTTCACCTCATAAAGAATGAAATGGGGTTTTGGGGGGGGGTGTTGCCACTTTTTAATCACATCTTCACTACTACCGCCTGATCAAATTCTGCAGTGATCATTCTTCCTACTTTCAGATTGCTCATGCAAAATTCTTAAAGGAAGATCTTCTGGGGGATTTCAAATGCATGCCAATCAGCATCACCAGCTGAGGTAATCAAGCCATTTTTAGTGCAATGAAGTCAAAAGCATTCATCTTTAATGGTGGTGTTTGGGGAAATCTCAAGGAAGTCTGTCCTAAAAGCACCATTTTCTTCTGCAGGACAATATTTTCCTGAAATAATAGAACTAGATGAGTATTCAGTGTAAATTAACAAAATGCCTGACATTTGTTGCTGGCAGATGCTGATACTTGAACCTTTGCCCATTTCAGTTCGGCTCTTCAGCACTCCTGATCCCTCCGGATTGCTAACCTGGGCTTAGAGTGTACATAAATAGGTCTTTAAGATGCTAGTTGCATATGTGGATTTTTTGATCAGACAGCAAATGTTAGTTTAGTGCAAGAAGAATTGGTGTCTAGCTGTAGTTTATCAGTTAAGCTAAAGGCAGACAGGATTTCTGAATAATTATTTGTTTGACAGCAGATGAGAAACAGCTAATGGGACTTCCATTTTATTTCCCTTCAGCTCAAAATTTCCATCTGCAAGCAGAGACAAGCATGTTGTTTGGATGTAAATTCCACTGAAATGAATGGGGCTTGCTTACAATTGAATATGTTTAAGATCTGGTTACAGGAGCAGATGTGTTGTGTTTATTTCTCCTCCCCCAGAAAACCAGCTGCTTCTCATGGCAAGTTAAATATGCATGACAGTGAATTAGTTAACGGTAGAGTCTCAATGGGTCTTATTATCGTATCATACCTGAAGCACATCTCTACAAACTCCCAAAGATTCTGTGAGGATTCACCAAATGTTAACAGATCCATGTTAAGCTGTAATGTTTTTAGTTAACTCCACATTATCCACAACGTAAAAGATTGTCAGTCAGAAAATACAGTGTTCATGGTAATGCTTTATAGTGCGCAGTTGCCTTCCCGAGAATGTCTGCCTGCCTCATTTCCCTCCCCAAGTTCTCAGAATAGCCACCGTTGTGTATTTTTCATGCACCCAGCATGACACACATGAGATACAGACTTGCACAGCTAGACAAAGAAAATAGGTTGCATTTCAGTCCCGACTTTTGTGTGAAAGTGCCCCGGGGGACACTGTCATGCGGAAGTATGAATATATGATAAGACCAAGCCATAAAGTTGCTCACAAAAACGAAAAAGAAAAATGCTTTTCAGTTCAGTGATAAGAAATTGTGACAGTATCGAAAATAGAAAGTATGCCCATCCCTAAGGGTTTTCGTAAGATAACACAACAAACACATTCTGATAAAAACCATCAGTGCTGAGTAATGCTTGACGTTGCCATTCCAATTCACTCATAAGCTGGTCTGGAAACAAAATAGCATGGCTGGGCTCCATTCTCCAATTTGTAGGTATAAACTTGGGCTAACCTAAAATCATGAGTATCTGCAGGGGGAATGGGCAACAGAGGGCAACTGCCCTGCCTCACTGGAATCATATATAAACACAGAGATACACTACGGTTACCAGATTTTTTTCAATGAATCCAGGGACACTTTTTTTTTTGAAGCTGAGTAGCAACAGGGAGTCAGTAGTGGGGATGCTGAGGCAAAAGACCCTGGGCCCAAGCACACATGCTTATTGTATAAAGGTGCAAAGCCCTTCTTTTGCACCCTCTGAAACATAAATGCACAGAGTTTTTTAAAAACTGGGCAACAGCCACCCGCCCGCAACTCCCGAGCCTCCCCTGATCAGTCAAAACAAAGAGGGCAGAGGGCAGGAGATCTGTACCACTGGACGTCCCCAGTTCTCCTTCGGCAGTGGCGGCAACAGTGGCAGCCAGCAGCCTGGATTTAGCCTGGTAGCGCAGTTGGCTCTGGCTGGCTTCAGGAGCTGCTCGCTGCTGTGGTGTCTGCCATTTTTCCTCACCAGAAGTTCTGGCAAGGAAAAATGGTGGGTGCCACGGCAGCGGGCAGCAAGCAGCTCCTGAAGCCAGCCAGAGCCAACTGCACTACCAGGCTGGCTCTGGGCTGCTGATGCTGCCGCTGCCACGTTTCCCGGGGACAGATTTGCAAATCCGGGGACTGTTCCCGGGAACCGGGGACACCTGGCAACCCTAAGATACACACACTCACAGCCAGCCAACAACAGGTTTAGAGTGAGCTCCGAGACCAGTTCTATTGAGAGCGGGTGCCAGACAGGCTCTCTGCACTTTTCTGGAGAAAAACCTTCCTGGGCCAGCAAGGAGCTGAGATGTAAGCCGCCACTTCTGATCTAATGATGCTGCTTCTGCAAATGTTCAAATGATATAAACAAAGGAGTTGTGCTGGCTCTTGGTGATCAGGTGAGGAGCTTCAAGCTGCTGCAGGACCAGCCCTGGCGGCCAAGAGTAGAAGCCAAAAGTAACCCAGCAGAAAAGAAATCAAAAGTGCCGACGAGGCTCTCAGGAAATGGGTAGCGAAAATCCCTTTTGTTGAGCAGCAGAAGCTTATTGCTTCTGTTTTGAATGGTTGAAAGAAAGGCACAAAGGTGATATGTATAAGGTTGCTAGAGAAAGCAAAGAAGCGGAACTGTTTTTATTTGCTTAGCTGTGGATGTTTTCAACTACTTCAGAACTCCTGCCTTCCAAATTATTTCTGTAAAGTTGCACGTCTGAAATGGCTGCCTCTGCTTGCAGGTGACAAACTGGGTTAGCCATTTGTTTTTTGTCCCAAGGCTTGGGTTTGGAGGGTGCCTTTTCCAGAGTAATGTTGGTAGGAGGCAGCTTCCTCTTTCATTCTCTTCTAAATCATTTTATAAAAAGATGCTACCAGTGGGGTGGGGGGAAGATACCAGTTTTGGCCCCTTCTCCCTGAAATGGCTGCTCCTATTTCTGGAGGCCTTGAGGCCATGCCTACTTGGAGGGGTAACAGGAATCCATAACTAGCAGAAACCCAGTGCAGAAATGTGAGGTGGATGGAGGGGAGGGGAGTAAACATCCTTAGCTTCCAGCATTGGTTGTTTTGTTTTTTTACGAGCTGAGTGACAAAATGCCTGGGATTTTTTGAGACCTGTTTATATGCTTTATGGCAATGGCTGCTGGGCTTTATAGGGAAACTTAGCTTTTACAACATTTCTATGTGTGGCTCCTGAAGCATGGAGAAGAAAATAAAGAGCCTGGCTAGATGCTGATGTCCAGCTCCAGCTCCCTCCTTCTCCAACTGTTCTCCAATTGTCACCACAAGGGGATGGAGAAGAATCGGTTGCAGTGGTCTTTCTCATTTTATTGTAACCTCTTTTTTTTTTTAAGTGCTTATTGTTATAATAACCTTACGTTAACTACTTTGTGAGGTTTGCCTGCAAAGTAGCGTGTGAATACCATAAACAATCAAATGTGTAATGGAAAGTTAGGAGATATGAAGAGCCAGAGAGCCAAATATGTGAGGGCAGAGGAAATGCAAGATAGACAGAGATTAGGAAATTGAACTGAAGGCTGTGTGATATCTACCGGTTGTAGGCTGTGCCAATCTTTTTTTCGTTTTGACTTTCACTTCAAACGTGGCATATTTGATGCAGCCCAACAAATTATGAGAAGAAATCCACAGCACTGAACATTTGCTTTGTTCCAATGCCAGTCGGTGCCCTTTTGCTTCCCTGGATCTTGTCATTTTTCATCTTCTTTTCCCTCATTGATAGTTGTGGACCTTCTGGTCCATGACTTCAACAAGCCAGACAAAGCATTGTGACATCATCAGCAAAATAATTTGATTTTCTCCAGCCCAGAGGTGGATTTAGGGGCACATGACTGAGTGTTCACCCAGTGTGGTTCACCCACACTGAGTGGCACCAAGGCGAGACGGCGCAGCATGGGGTGCAGTGTTACATATAGTTTCATATAGTTGGAGATACGGTATCCCTTACAGCCTAATAGAAGGGTAGAAAAGAATAAAGAATCCCTTCAAATTCAGTCCTGGGATTCTCCAACACCATAGCAGAGACTTCATCTGCCAGCTCAGTCAAGGACTGACTCAGTACACCAACAAGATCTTGGTTCTGTCCCTGCTTCCCAACACCAAGTACAAACTCTTGAATTCAGCTTCCTGATGGATTGGCCACCTGGTGAGAATGATGGAAATTTTATGGATCACTGCTACGCCCCTTCCCTCTCCTTCTGACCTTGACTGCTGCTGCACTGAATACTCAGGTGGGTTCAACTGGGAAGGTCAGAAACCCCAGGTCTGAATAATACACACCAGATCAGCCACTTCACCCACAATCAAACCAAACTGGTTGCATTGCTGTGTTTATGGATTACTTAACCCGAGCAACCTTGGACACCCCAAATAAAATAAAGCATGCCAAAACCTCGAAAACATGTTGCAGTGTTCTCTGTTTCAGCTGGTTTCCACACAGGATCAGGCAGGCAACAGACAACAGTTTCATTCACAGTTGACTTGCCTTACCGTGTATCACACAAATATTAGAAAACATCAGGCCAGCTCATAGCTTATATGCAAATCTGCTGAAAGATCCCATTGTGTCATGAGTGATGCTAGGTATCACATTTAACATCAAATAATATTCACATAGCCTAGTGCCTTTTATGCACTGTCTATGGATTTCCCTCTGTTTGTGTTGGCTGACAGGCAGGAAGAAAAGAATAATAATAAAAAGTTGCTAGATGGGTATCTCCCAAATCCTTAGCTGCATTACTCTTTCATATTAAGTGCTGGGTGACACCTGTTTTGTATCCATTTAATGAACATGGCACCAAAGTATCTGAATAGAATGCAGACTCTGGTTTTCTCTCCCATGTAAGCGTATCGTCACAGAATGCAATTTTGCTTGCATTCGGCAAAGATTCCACAGTGACAGCAAAAAGAAAAACCAACCGCGATAGAAAATAGTGTTATCTTTGAAATGAAAAATAAATATGAGGCGTGAAATAGATATTGTTCCGATTTGCCTTCCCAACCAAGACTTACTGCATGACTTCCACCAGCTCACTTAACTGGTGTGTCACTAAAAATGGGATAGCAATCTTTCAGGCTGTAATCCTTGCATCTACTTTCCTGGGAGTAAGCCACACTGAACTCAAAGGGGCTTCCTCCTGAGTAGCCATGCACACAATTGGACTGCCTGTAATTCACTAGGACCATAACCTGAAACTAATTTTGCAAAGGCCACTTTTAGGACAGGGTGACTGGCATCCCCTTCTGTAAAAATAATAATAAACAAGTTCAGTTGGCCTGATGTTCATTCTGTCCACACACCACTTTTGTCTTCAAGTTGAATGTGGCTGTGTACACATCATACATTGATAGCATATGGCTCCCCTTCCCCCCATCAAGAATTCTGTTTATTAAGACTGCCTGGAATGGTAGCTCAGTGGTCAGTTTCCAGGATTCTTTGAGGGAAGCTATGTGCTTTCAATGTATAGTGTGCATCCAGTTCCTCTGCTCCATTTGCAGTTGTTGGCTCCTTTAATATTTAGTGTGACCAGGTTATTCTGAGCTTTGTAGGCTCGTATAATGCCCAGGCAGAAGTCCACTTTTACTTGAGCTCTGTTTGGCCTGAAACTGCTTTCCTGATAGCAAGATTAATTTCCTATTTATTATCAAAACAAGAAAAAAAAAAGAGGAAGGGGAAAAAACAGTCTGAAGCGATAAGATTCCAAGAAGCAAAGCATTTGGCAGAAAGAGTTCCTTTGCTTGTTTTCACACAGATCCTGTTATGGCTGACTGATTCTCATGTTGCATCATTTTTTTTATAACTGTGCAAGCATGAAGTAGCCATTTATACTTCAACCTTGCAAATAGGATAAAAATGTTTGCTAGCTCAAATACCAGAGAGAGGGAGAGAGCGAGAACAATCCACTAGTGCCAAAGCAAACGCTCACGCTTTTCACCCACCATTTTGCCCTGACCAGGACTGCACCGTCAGCCCAATTCTAAAGCTTATCCCGTGCTCAAAATAGCACAGAAGTCCCACTGCTGTTTGTGTCATACACATGCCCACCCACTTAACTGTTCTCTCACCATCTTACATCATTGCTGCAGTCTTATTATCTCAGCTGCGGTCATTCTTTTTTCCACTGCCACATTCTACGCTGCTCTCAATCACTTCTTGTAAGTCACACTCAGCCACTTTGGGTGCTTTCAGGTTGTTGCTATTTTCTGGTAAGAATTGGCCTCAGGAAATAACTCCTCAAAAACTAAGTAAATTACCCCACAAATGAATGGGAGACTGTTTGCTCTTCCTGCTTTGTTCCTGTTTGCACTGGCTCAGCCTCTCCTGCATTGCGCATGCCCCCTTAAACATAACCGTAGTTCATGGGATGCTGGATAGGTTTAAATATCTTCTTTTGATTCAATATGGTAGGGTTCCTAGGGACCAAATAAGCTTGTCTTGGAAGATGGATTTGGCCTTGCCTACCATACCTTTCCACCTACAGCTCCAGTGAAAAGTGTCCCTGCAGCTGATTTCGTTTGGTGCTGCAAACAGAATAGGTTGGGCTGGAAAGAGTAGATTGACTTGAGAAACTTTATTAGAGTTGTTCTACAGCTGGGAAGATGATTTCATAAAAATCAATGACAGTGAGGTAATTATATCTAGCAATCTTATACTGCAGAGATGCTATAAATGTTCAGATGATTATGACACATATATTAATCACAACCAGGGAAGAAAGGAGCTGCCAATTCAGTTCTCTCTGTTTCTTATGTTTTCAATCCTAAATTCAGTTCTTTGCATTTCTGCACCAATTTGCAATTATCATTTTTTAAAGAAAACCTCCTGAAAATTCTTTAGCATTTTAGTGCGAATTTCTCCCAAAAAACTCATTTTGTATGTTGTTTAGACAAATGGACACAATCGCTAGCAATTTGTCCTAATATAATGCATTTCTCTGTGTTATTTGCAGTAACATATGCACTTCTGTGCGCAATATGTGCATTTTTGTAAACACTGGTTGGTTGGAGAATTACATCTCAAAATTTGGTGACATGCAAATTTCAAAGGATGGCT